CCATCTTGTGTCAATGTACCATATTTTTAAAACCTATCTCCAACAAATGAACTTTCAGGCTGTCTTTCACAGAGATATGATCAGTGGTTATTTTCATCTAGGAAGTTTGTTTTTGGAACAAATTTATGTACTAAAGCCATAGAGGGAGGTGGGAAAAGTGGAATCTAATCATACCATTCAAACACATTCATTCATATTTATCATAAAACACCACCCACTTATTATAAGTCAAAATACCTTGCTTTTCCCAGATGGTCTCAGCCTTTTGGCTCTATCACCTTCCCAGGTCCAATCACCTATATCCTAGGCTCAACCAGACCTGGGGCTTAATTCACCTTCCCAATGCCTCCCACAGGTAAGGTACATATTAGACCTAAATGATGGCTCTGTCCATACTTCACAGGTTTCTAGCCCCAGCAACTCTCTAAGCCCCATGATAACAGAAATCTAAAGTAGTGATTTTCATACTTTTCTGATTACCCCATTGGTTTAAATATATATTAGCATATGCCTTCAACACATATGTGTATGTGTAAATCATTTATATGTACTGGTGCATGAATATTTTACATACATTAAAAAGATATGCTAAAGTAGAAAATTTAAGAAGCTAACAAAAATAAATGAAACATAAGTTGTTTTTTCTGCAGCCCAATGAATTGCCTTGCACATTTCTCTTTGGACACCAGCGAGTCAGGCCACACCTAACCAAAATGCCACATCTGAGCTAATGAATTCATGCATTAACCTCCCCAAAACTGTTGTCACATTTGGTTCCTTACAAATGGAAGGAATGGCTCTCTGATGGGTCCGATCATCTGCATGTATATAAGGACTCCCTGCACCTGGCTTCTAGCTCCTCCTTCTTTATAGACAGAGTATGTGCCTCTAATTAACTTGTTCACTCAGCATGTTTAGGTTGGGAGATCAGTTGAAAATACAGATGCGAGTGAATGTATTTGAATGATATAACTAGATTCCACTTCTCCCACATTTCCACAACCCTCTGTAGCTTTAGCACATAAATTTAGTACAATAAGGCAGGGGCTGTTTTATGAAACATTTATAGCTGTTCCCTAAGAGGTCTAGGAAGAAGGAGTCTAATGGGTCCAGGACACCTGAGAAGGAACAGAGGTAGGTAAGAGCCCGGGAGCCTCCCCAAAGCACAAGTTTAACATGCCCATCAGTCAGTAGCCTAGGCAGTAACCTAGAAGGTCTTTGCAGCAATGGCACACAGCACAGACAGGTTTCGATGGGCCATGTCTTGTAGAGGGAGGCCTGGCTGACATGTGGTGTGAATGAAAGGCCTGCAGGCCTGAAAATGAATCTTGAAAGAAACAGTCAAAAGCAAGGTGGGTGCACTCCAACATTAACTTTTCCCCACAGTTTTGCAGTCAGTTTTACCTAATCCATGGTTAATTCTAGCATCTAGATATTTATTATATGATAAAGGGCTACTCGCAAGACACAGTTTCTTCTCTCCTCCAAATCAAAAATAAACATACAATAAGAACAGTAAATTTAGAAAAAGCAAAATAAGAGTCATTTTTTATTATATGTCTCTTTAATTGTGTGACTCAAAGTTTATGTAAACTTAAAAAAAATCATTGTTGTCTGTACACTTTTAAAAGTTCAGTTTCACCTCAAGTTGAAACGATCCCTTTTCCAGTACATTTTGTGAGTAAGATGTACGCTGACTCCTCACGCAGCCCTGACCCACCCACAATCAATAGTGAAGACTACGGGCATTTCGCGTCAGTTGACCACCACAGGCAACACTGACCGCAGGAACCAATGTCTCCGTGGGGACAGTGACTTTGCCATGAGTTGCAGCCCTGATGGTTGCCTAGGAAACAGAAGAAAGATGATGTGGAGGGTCATGAAGACCTTTCCAGACACAGTGGACATTGTGGTCCTGTCCGCCCCACCTCACCCCATAAAAATGAAACCATAAGAATGAATTTCTGAAAGAAAGAAAGACTATCCCCACACCCCATCTAGACAAGACATCTGCACACACATTCTCCTTAGCGGGTGTGTGAGCAGCTGGAAGCCAGAAACTGTTTCTGAAGGCTTTTTTCCAAATGTGCGAGGCTCACTCTGATTCTGACTGTACTTGCCCCTCCCTCCTCAAACTATGCTCTCTCAGCTCAAAAGTCTGACAAGATCAAATAACCAGAGCTATTTAAACATCCTACTTTGGATAACACCCTCCAAGACAGTTAACAATTCTAGCTTGTTTAGACTTAGCCTCTTCCATTCCTTACCCCCCACCACACACACACACACACACACACACACACACACACACACACACGATTCCATCTTTCTCCTCAAGCCACCCCTCCTTACCATCCAAATACCAACTTGACTTAGAGGCAACATCTGGGTTTAGGATTGTTACTTCTCCTGAATCCCGAAACAGCTGCCTCTCAGTGGTTGAACTAAATCCATTCAGTTTATGTCTGACTTGTATGTCTTCTGGGGTGGAAATTTTTTACAAAATAACTGTTACTCTTTAGAAAAACTAGTAATAATGAGAAAGACTAATGGGAATACATAAACTGTTATAAGACGGTTCCTGTCCTATGCATTATTCATTTATGCGAACTGTTGTGAAGCTACCAAATCACTGTGCAACTGGGCTCGACAAGTATCTGGACTCAAGATTATATCGGATGCCTATTTCTGAGGCTTGGTTCTATTTAACATTTTCATCAGTTGACCTGCTTAGAGGAGCAGAGAGCAAACTCATTAAGTTCCTAGATGGGAGGGATGGCCAAAACATTAGCGAGCAGGATTAGAATTTCCCAGCCCTTGACAAATCAGCAAAACTGTTAGAGTCAAATATGTTTATCGGGGACAGGAGAGGGGAAAGTAAGTCATCCAGATGCAAACTGAGCAGTAGCTACTTACTTAGGAGCAGAACTGAAAAGAATATAGATGCAAATACAGACCCACAGCAGGAAATAAGCTTATCCAGTAGAACCACCAGCGTTCATTGGGGTCTTTGCAACTAACTCCCTTAAAATGGTTTTAGATCCCTAATCCATGGACTGTAGAAGCGGAAAGTCCTCCCCCAAGAATTCAGAGTTTCCCTGAGTTTTTCTTTTTCACGGTACCTCTAGCTTCAGATTCCTGATTCTACTTCATCAGCCTGGCTTCTGGTTCATGTCACCGCCCTGCTCTGGCGGCTCTATCACAAACCACGCTGACACAGACATGAAAACTACTGTCCTCCCATGAGCAAATCATGGCTGCCTGCAAAAGGGCCTGGCTATCTCCTGGGCTATTGTGGCTCTTGTTCAATCCATCCAATTCAATTTCTACCCCAAGTTGTTGTACAAGCTGTTTTCCTAAAAATAGACAGTTTTCACCCTAAGAGGAACTCTAGGGCCAGCCTTAAGAAAATAACATTTACATCTGTGTTACCTAACAAAGGTGAGCATCATGACCCAAGCATGCTCTAGCCAGGGGCTAACAAACTTTTTCTGTACACTAAAGTGACAGATAGTAAATATTTTCTGTCTCTGTTGCAACTCCTCTACTCTGACACCATAGCAGGAAAGTATTCATACACAACATGCAAACAAAAGGGCATGACCCGATTTGGCCCCAGGGTTGGCCATAATTTGCCAACTCTTGCTAGACTCAGCTTCAGAATCTTTGACTTTTGGAAAGACTTTGCAACCATATTATCCAATCAGACCATTTTACAGGTGCAGAAAACAGGACCCGGCAAGTGGAGTAAAGTTTATGTGAGTTCTCAAGACAGTTAAGTCAAGGTTAACACTTAAAACTAGGAATAGGTAGCCCAATTCCCAGACCAGTGCCCTCTCTACTGCAAGATCACTAGGTTCTTTCCAGAAGGTTCTGAAGATCCTGTAAATGGCAGGGCTTCTTCTAAAAATGTTTCCACTGTAACTTTCAGTGCAATGCATTAGCTGTACCATGTGCGATACACAGTAGCGTTGTCTTTACAACATCCCTAGGATGACTCAAGATGAATGTCTGGCTAAAGATTTGGGTGAGGCTCTACTAAAAGGCAGACTTTGTGAAATGAAAATAGAGCCTAGGATAGATTTGAAAAAAAGTTCAAAGAGAATAATACCCTTAAAACGTTAAAGGCAACATAAAATCTTCATGTGCCAGGAGGAATACTTAAAAGAGGAGCAATTGTGTTCCATCTCCTATTAGAATGAAAAGAACAAAACTGGAGAATAACATTAAAAAAAAACTTGCTAGAGGTAGCTCTGTTCTCCCAACATTTAAAGACCAGAAGAAGTCATAAAATACTCTTAATAATTGGATCTGGGGTTGGCATGTTTTACGGAGGGTTAGGATGGAGGGAAATAGACTGAGTAAGTCTGTTTTCAAAGTCCTTTCTCTCTCATGAAGTCCCCTGAATGCTGTAGGAAAGAGTCCTTCTCTGAGCCAACAGGGAAACATTGAACCGTTATACTCTAGGAGAACAGGACAGTTTCTTTAAGAAGGTTGTAAGGTGTAGAACCCAAAGTGAATACTGTATTGGAAAGAAAACAGTTGTCCAAATTTCAAAGGAACCTCCCAGAGAGCAACACTGGCAAGGAGGGTAATTCATGGGAAACCCACCACTCGGGGTGAGAAGTCTGAAGCCCCTTTTCAAGTGTGTATGTGTGTGGATATGCTTGATGCCTTTGCCTCACAGAGACCAGGAGTTTCTCAGAGTGGATGGCTCCTGGTGTGCAATTTGAAGACTTGGTAACTTGCGTCTATTCCCCCTTGAAAGTCAGGGCCAAGTATCTGTGAGAACTTTTATTTTACAAGCTTTGATGAAGATAAATCATAGCATATAGCTTGGTACTAGTTAAAAATGGTGCCATCTGTTCAAAAACAATTTCTGGACAGTGCATTTAACAAAACTATCCCAGAAGATTGTCTCAAGCCACAACTTTTCCAAAGCCCATTTTTCCAAATGATGAACACTTTGTGATTATTTTTCATTATCTTTTTTTTTCCAGATGATCCAGGAACCTGCACATCCTGTGTTATGGGGTATTACATGTAAGTCTGGCCACCTTTTTCACGGTGCTGACTTTTCTGCAGTTGAAGCATGACTGACTTAATCCTAATTTAGTGATAAAAGGAAAGAGGCCCTGCAGCCTGAAGCAACTCTCCCCTGTCAGGCTATTAATGAATAATTCTTGGATTTAGCAATACGAGCCCAGCTGTTTTCTTGCCTGGAAAGGAGGCCTTCTCTGTCTTGGTCCTGGAAGGCAACCAACTGACACTGATGTCTAGGAATTTTGCCATGGGTGACCAAGATTCAGACCTTGCTGGTTCTGGACAGACCTTAATAATAGACCCAACCCCAGACAAGTTGGTTCCAGATGTCTGCATGGAGACCTTGTCCTTAATGAGCTGGACGGTCCAGGATGAAGTCAGGTGCTACATTAGCGCTCAGTCATTCCCTGGGTAATGAAAGACACAGACCACTAGGTTAAATGAAAGACAGATAACCGTCACCCACAAAGTTCTCTAATTCAAATCTATAAATCAAACATGGCATATCTCAGCGTCACCTCCTCTTCCCAGGGTACATTGGTGCCTATCTTGGAAGAAAAACTAAGAAAAGAAAAGTGAGATGAGAAGAAAAGGAAGGCCCAGATAATGCACAGGCTGTAGAATTCCTCCCTATCATCTAAGAACTGGAGAGTTTATGATAAATTCTCACATTCATTTCTTCTTTTCACCTTTCCAAAAACATTGTCAGGAACACAGGGTTGATGTTATCCTCCAGAAGAGAAAAATGAAGCTCAGAGAGATTGTGGGTTCTCGCATGATGCACCACAAGCTAGTCGTAGCGGGGGCGGGGCGGGGGGGGGGTTATATTTGAGTCACCGCAACTTGAATGGGTTCGATGCCAAGAGGCTTGAAATGTGGCAGTGGGCAGGAAGACATTAGAAGGGGTGAGGTGGACAGGAAGGAAAGGGAAATCCAACAAGCTGAACCATATTAAAAATGACCAGTTAGCCTTATCATTACTTCACCTTATGGTTTTAATTCAACTTTCCCAGAGTTGCCTATTATTCTTTGCATTGAGTATTGTCTCTACATGACCGCACTCCTGACCTACTGATTTAAATTATTGTTCCATTTAAGCAGGGGAGGAGGCTCCCAGACTTGATTATTAGAAGGTAGACCAGATGACAGTAAATGAGCAGAAAGGAATTTGTCAGCATGTTCATAGTTGGCATTTACCCAGCATTCAGCCTGCCAGAGACACCCCAAACAGAGACAAACAGCAGAAATGCAAGCATTCCTGGATGAGGTCATACGGTTGGGGGCACAAACTCTTCCCTGCAGGACCAAGGAAGGAGGACTTTGACCCAAAGAAATAGTGACCATGTAGAAGTAGGTGACTTCAGTGTCCCTCCAGCTAAACTCTACCCGTCTTCATTTTGACACTAGAAGACACCCCTTGACTGGCACCAACTTCTTCTGTCACCTCACAGCATCCTCTGCCAAAGTTTGGAGCCAGCCACATCAGCCTCTCCAGCTTGCCATGCCCACGAATGAGCATGTTTCATGAAACTCTTTGAGAAACAGAAACAGCAGAGCCTAGAATAATTCCATTTTGTTCAATGTCATTTTGTTATAACATTGTAACATTGATAATGTCATTTTGTTATAAATAAAGGAACTTAACCTTTATTTATATCAATTAGACTATTTCATTATACATTATTTCACTTGAAGTTGCAGAACCTAACAACCACATTAAGTAAGGGCCTACTGTGTACTAAAAAGGACATGCCCAATATTGCTAAAGGTAAAACGTGTGATATTTAGTTCAAGAAGCACACATCTATAACCTTTTAGAATATTTAGTGACTTTCAGTACAGTTAATAAAACAGTCTACATTACGAGTTGGTATGGAAGAAATGCAAAGCCTGCCTCTGACACCTCGCTGATGCTACAAAATTCGTCAAAGGGCAAAGATCAGCTTCATTCCACTCCCCCTTAAAATGAGCCTGTAATTCAGTGAAGTATTCTACTGTAGAATAAGAATGGACAGTATGTGTAAAAGTATGTGTACATAAAAACTCAGGCACTTCAATGTTGATGTCAATCTTGTTACACTAAACTGTTCAGACTGTGCGAGTGCCCTGGGGCAAAGGCATACAAACCGTCTGTTCAAACAGGCCTTGGTTAGTACCCCAGTCCCACCTTTAACCTACATGACTTTAAGCACTTAACCCTGAGACTCAGTTCCCTGATCTGGAAATTAAACATAAGTAATAGCTACCATATGGAGATTGTGTGGAGGTTTAAATAAGCTAGTACTTGACACATAGCCACTACTCCATAAATAAATATCAGCATCCCTTTCTTCTCCCCAGCCTCCTCTCAGCAGCCCTGATAAGGGTGCTCAGCAGTCCAGAGGGAGGTGGTTTATGACTCATTTGGAAGGCACACAAAGACCAAGAGGAAGTTTTCGCCCTTGAAACCCAAATATCTACACCTGTTTAAAAACGATGTGTAGACATAAATAAGGAGGTTAAATTATGGTGGTTAGGAGAAATACATCAACAGAGCTCATGGAAGAAACTCTATCTTCTCCCCTAGGTTTAAACACCACTGTTATAAAGTCTGTCCCGAGAAGACCTACAGTGAAGAATTTGAATGCAAAGCGTGCAACACCAACTGTTGCAGCTGTGACCGGAACGAGTGTTACTGGTGTGAAGAGGGCTTCTTTCTCTCGGGTGAGCCTGAACACGGCACCGACCAAGTGAAAGGGCTCCAGAGCTCCACACAGAAACATGAGAGCTATGTGATTGGCTCCCAGGTCCGCGTGCACTGGTGCCTCTTGTCCAAGCAGAAATGTTTCATTGAATTTGAAAATAATTGTTAGCCAGAACAACTTCCTCCTGTTTCTATTACTGAAACCTAGTCCCTATTTCACTAATTAATCTCAAACATCTCCAAACTGATGGAAGCAAGAGTGAATGTGGGGGCAGCGGGGGCGCTGCAGACAGTGCTTTGGAATCTAAGTCACCTGGGGTGTTCGGAACCGTGACTCTTCCCTTGAGACGTAATCCAGGTTGTATGTTCCTGAGCACTGTAAAAGCCAAAGATGACCCTTTGTGTTAGGTTTTGGTCAGTCCACTGACTCTGGTGAAAACGGGTGGTCAGGAAGGAAATACACTGTGAGTCCTCCAATTACGGAACCCCCAGTCCGGTGCTCTTGAATGCTGGTGGAGGCCAATGCGTCAGAAGGCCCAACATGGCCTCCCGCTGTTCTGTTAGAGATTCATTTGCTCTGTAGATTTTCAAGAATGTCAAGTGTTTTCTTCCATGCTCTCAATCCTTTGAGCTGATAGCCAGTGTAAATTCTCAGTTAAAGGATGGCATTAAATGTCCAATTTTTAAAGACACGTCTATTGGTTGAAATAAGCTAATGCCATCCTGGTTTCTTTTAAAACAAAGTCAAACAAAAATGTTCCTGAGCTTCCCTTGGGCCCGTTTAGAACTTGGCCCTGAACAGAGCACTGAGCCAAACCCGCCAGGGTCCCGCCTTCACGCTTCCTGTGTTCCTCTGTAGGTGGCAGCTGTGTCAGGAGCTGTGGCCCTGGCTTCTACGGCAACCCAGAGATGGGCGAATGTGAGCCCTGCCACCGAGCCTGTGAAACCTGCAGTGGCCCCAGCTACACTGAGTGCAGCAGCTGCCAAGCAGGGCTGCAGCTGCTGCAGGGGACATGTGTGGGCCCCGCCCAGTCGCAGATGGAAGGCAAACTCGGGAATGGTATGTGTCTCTTGAGAGACATCGCAGGTGTCTAGCTGCCTTCTTGGCCTCCCTCTTTCCTTCCCTCCTTCTCTAACCCTTGCTTTTGGGATGCCAAGAGATGAAGGCTGGGCAGTGAAACAAAAGCTTGGAATGAGAATCAAGACTGGGTCTCTTTGATGCTCGAGGCGGGAGAGGAAAGAAGGCTGTAGCTGGCATGTGGCCAGGAGGGAAAACCCAAAGGGTAATTTATGATCAGTCTGGCCACTTGCGTTTCCACCAGGATGGAGCAGACCTCTGAGCACACAGAGTCATAGAGAGAAATGGCCTGATGCTCATTTTCTTGAAGATTTCAGAATAGCTTCAATCATTCGTGTGTCTCTTCATAAGGTAAAGAAAACTGCCAGTAGGGCAGTCTATTTCAGTGAGGCAAGGAAGACTGTTCCAGTGTTGAAACTAAAGCTGAAGCAGCTGATCTGTCTGGGTGGGTTGTTAGAAATCGCCATCGTTCAAACTTGCCTTTTAAAAGTCGCCCTCTCCAGTTGCAGAGGGGAGAGTGGGGTTCCTGACAGGGGGTGGGAATGAGGAAGAATGTGGGAGCTTAGACTCTAACAGTAAAGGCCTACATGTGTTCATTCCTACCTGAGTCTTCAGAACAGGCCTCCTCACCTTGGAGCCTCAGCTATAGGCTTCCCTGCAAGGTGATCACAAACTTCAGTGGCCTCTTCACGTCTGAGGTGGTCAGAAAACAAAATCTCCTCTTGCTGGGAAAATCTGACTCACTGTCAATGCAGAGACCCCCTCATGCAAACAAGAAGTGCTCTCTATTTGATTTTGAGGCACAGATTTGTTTAAAAGGTTCTTTCAGCGCAGAAGCAGCAGCAACAGAAAAGAGGGTCTGCTCAGGGCGGGTCTTCTAACATCTGGAGAATGCGAGAGATCTGGGGCAGGAGACGGGGTGCTTGCTGGGTTTCAGAGCAGGGACATCTGTGGCTGCTGTCCACTACAACAGCACTGCACATGTGACAAAGGAAAAGCAGCTCAGAGACCATCACAAACCCAGCAGCCCAAGGCCACAGAGAACACAGGCCGATTTCAGAGACAGAGCTAGGAGGAAAACCATTCATTGCAGACTGGGATATCTTCCGTGAATTCTAGTTGAACCAAAATGCTGAAAACGAGTTTGTCTGCCATTCAGGCATGTAAGAGGCAGTGCAGGCCAAAGGGAAAATAGTCTGGTGCTATGTTTCTAGCTCAGAACATCTGTATTTTATCTGGCATCCAGATGATGAAAAAGTCCAGGGAGCCAAGAGGCAGAGCAGACTTGATCTCCCAAATGATTACACGTCCCTCTCAACTGGACTACGCACTTTGCAAGCAGAAACCAGGCCTTGATTGCTCCCCTTGGTCAAAGTGCCACGCCCACCACTCTGCATTTTCTACTAACAAAATGCAGTGTTTCTGACGAGAGAAAGGAATTAGTCCATTTGGAGATTTAGCACTAATAAAGGATTCGGGAAGCAGATGAGAATGTTTCTCATGGCTGGACAAAAGCAATAAAGGCAAGGACATGGCTGCACTTTTCCACGTCTATGATCTAGGAAATAAGACATGCAGACCATTAACAGTGAGGAAAATCTGTTCCTTCGCTGAAAGGTAAGGCTCCGCTTCCACAGCACAGATTAGGCACCACTGAACGGCCAGTAAGTGGGAAGGGCACCCCAGGAAGCCCTGGGAGTATCTGAGTGAGGCCCACGTCTTTCTCCCCACTTCTTTTCCTTAGAAAAACGAGGTGGGAAGTGAAACGGGCGAGGGGGTGGGGGTTCCAGAGAATGAGCACTAAGCAGCCACACCTTGAAGATGATGGAAAGCAACTGCAGTTGTCCTGGGTGAACTCAGATGAAGCCCAGACCAATGACAGAGTATTTCTGAGCGAGCGTGACTGCCTGGGGGACACCAGCGCGGTGGTGGCATGTTTCCCGCACAGATGCAGGTCCAGGTAGGGAAGGCGAGATGAGACTAACTCCGCTACTTTCTCTCACCCACTCCACTCCCTAGCGCAGTGATTTCAACCTCTTTCATCTCACGGCACACATAAACTAATTACTAAAATTCTGCAGCACCCCCCAAAAAATATGTTTTTTGCCGATCTAACAAAAAAAAACAGGTATTAAGTTTGATTCATTCATACCGGACAGCTATTGTGTTGGCTGTGATCATTTCTTTGTTTGACAATCTAAGGGAAAAGAGGTCAGTGCTCCTGACTAAACAGTCAGGTACTGCACGTTTTAAAAATTCTTGCGGCACACCAGTTGAAAAATTACTGCCCTGGTGGAAACAATAAGATAATGCTGGCACCCAAAGACTATGACCGCCCCTCCATGTCCATGTCAGCACGTACCGGGGAAGCACCCTTGAAATAAAAATCCAACCAGAGTTCACTGAGCTCCTCTTTTAATAAGGTGGCTGCTCATGATGAGAGTGACAATGATGGGAGGGCCATCACACTTCGTCAGCTACCAACAGAGTGGGAAGACCTCCCACACTAGGACGGGGATGGAGAATTCCCTACGCATCAGACCAGGCCTGGCAAACCCTCCAGCCTAGACTAAGTAATCTCCAAAGAGAGCTGCTCGACTCTCTGGTCTCCATGCCACCAAAAGGCACTGCATGAAAGTACAGATCATCCCCAGGTTCCAGTCACTAATACATAAAGATTAATTAGTCCAGTAATAGTACCAATATTAAGTAGGCTGCTAATGGCTCTGCAGTGACTCCGGCATCACACAGAGCTGCCACTGGTGGAAATGTTCGGGTGTGGCAGGCCACGAGCTCTCAAAGAAGATAATGGGCTCAGCTGGGTTCCTGCAACCACTGCTGGGTATGGAAACAGTTTATTCCATTACTGTGAAATCATTTGGATTTTGTTAAGTGGTTTTTTCCCTGGTCATGCCGGAAAGTCCTCCATATCTTCCCTACCCACCTAGTCCCATCATTGATTAAAACCACGTTTGTAGCAGGCTCTAATTACTTATTCCGATGGTAGTCCAATCCACAAAGCACAGATATGGTGAATTAGCTTCCTATCTTTGACCACATCCTAACAATTTATCACTGGCCCATCTTTTAATCTGAATTCCTGTGCTGTGAGAAAGGCTGGGGTCCCAGTCAGCCACAGATACTCCTGTGTGAAAAAAATCTCAGCACCAGGAAATATGTTGCCTAAGAGTAACTAAACATTAGAGAACCTTAAAGATGCCATGAAAACTGATCTTTACAAGGCCTTAATCGATGTATACAGTTGCCTCACTTAGAAATGAGTGCAGAAAACATGTGTCTGGGTAATTTGACCTTTAGCCTATTGGTATGAAGAAGCCTAGTGCATCCGGCTGCACTGATTGTTAGGAATTTTACAAGTGGGTAGTAAAATCATCGGCAGCTTGAAATCAGCTATGGTGGGTGTATATATACCATGGAAATTGGCAAATACAAAAAAATCAACTTTTTTCTTTTTTTTTTTTGTATTCCAAAGAGCCATATTATCAGTATAGCACTGCTTTGGCATCTACCAAACAATTTTACAATCCAAACTAATTACTAAAACATCTCTCTAATGAATGAGAGTTAGGCATGCCTGAATTCAAATCCTGGCTCTGTTCTTTACTAGCTACATGACCTTGAACAAGTTACACAACCTCTCTGAGCCTCAGTTTCCTCATCTGTAAAATGAGAGCATGAAACTACCTCACACAAGGTCATTTTGAGAATGGAATGAAAGAACACACATAAAGCTTCAGGCACATAATATCACACAATAAAAGTTAATCCATTTCCTAACCATTTAACTAGATCCAGTTTTAACACATGAAACACTAGTTCACTTTCAAAACAGCCTTCCCTAGCTCATGAAAAAAAAATGGGGACCCTGGAAAAAAACACAGGCCTGGGAAAACCCGTCCCAGAGAGAAGGAGGCAAACAATGCTCCTCTAGGAGGCCCGGTGCAGGCGGAGCCCCGACTCACCCAGAATGTGCGCTCCCAAAGGTGTTGATAGTGGCTTTATTTATTGAGTGGGCCAAAAAGTTGATTTATTTTTTCCATAAAAGACACATTTTTCATTTTCACCAATAACTTTATTGATTTGGATATTTTGAGTATGTCAGCTATTTCCCATGTGGTATAACATTGATTGTTCTCAATTAATGTCTTGATTTGAATGCTATCCAACTTCAACTGGTCTACTGGATTGTGGAGCATCATGCAGCAAGAAATGTCCAGCACGAAACTTTACAAACCACTTTTGACATGTTCAATCACCACAGCAACTTCTCCATACACTGCACAAATCTTTTTTTGTATGTGGTTCAGTTGTGTTTTTACCTTTTTTGAAATAATAAAGCAGAGTATGCCAAAAATGTTGCTCATTTCCTTCCATTTTCAATATTAGAATGGCTGTACAAAAATTCACCAATTTTGATTTTTTTAAAAAAATGCATGCTGATATGACAGCTGTCACAATACAATCTAACAAAATTTTTTCAAATGCAGTTAAAGATAACTAAGTGCTATTAGAGCCACATTACAGAAAAAAACAAATGAACTTTTTGGCCAATCCAATATAACAAATGTTAGGTGGATTATGGTTCGTGGAAATAAATACACAAACCATTAAAATTATGTTTTAAAGAATTTTTTAAAAGATTTTATTTATTTATTTTTAGAAAGACAGGAAGGGAAGGAGAAAGAGTGAAACATCAATGTGTTTTTGCCTCTTGCATGCCCCCTACTGGGGACCTGGCCTGCAACCCAGGCATGTGCCCTGACTGGGAATCGAACCAGCAACCCCTTGATTCACAGGCTGGCACCCACCACACCAGCCAGGGATATTTATAAAGAATTTTAATGGCAAAATAAAATGCCTGTAAGATTTACAATATTAAATGCAAAATGTAGGGTTGGTACTAATGACACTGACCTTACATTTTCCATTTAAAAGAAAAAAATAGGTGAATTATGGCCCATGCAATAAATACACAAGCCATTAAAACTAATGTTTACAAGGAATTTCAGTGGCAAGAAAAAATATCTATAAGATTTATAATGTTAATGCAAAATGTAGGGTCAGTGTTCCATATGCAGAAGATGTAAATGATGACACGTGTACACAGGTGTAATTACACTCACACACAGACTACGAGTCAAAGTCTATGCAGCAGACATTTCTGGGTGGTAAGATGAGAGGCGAACTTTATCTTCTTTATCCTTTTGCACTAAAAAAATAAAACACTTTATTTTTTTTAATAAAAAAGAACCTGTGCTCACTTCAAGCCCATCTTTGGTGAAGAGCCTGCTGCAGGAACGACGAAGGTGGAAGTTTCAAATCAAAAGAGGTAACAGGGAAATAGGGAGGAGAAGGCAATCACAACGAATCAGGAGTCTCTGTGATTTGAAACCAACCCAGGAACCTGGGCGGCCAGGAGCAGGTGGGATGAGGAGATCACAAAAGGAGAAACCACAGCACAGAACACAAGCGGTGCTCACTGGGGAAAGACGGGAGGAAAGGGAGCAGTGATCTTCAGCAGTGCTCTAGAAGGACACTTCTAGAGCATTTAAAGGCATTACCGATGTGCTAAGTGGTTATGCCTGGGAAAGGGAGGCTCCCAAGAAAAGCCTCGGTTCTTGCAGCTCTTTAATAGGCTGGAAACGCACTTTTTGTGTCCTTTGTCACTGCAGCATTATTTGAAACAGTAAAGATTGGGGAAAAACTAACTGGTTACAATAAAAGACTAGAAAAATGAAGTATGATACATGCGTGCAATGGAATACTATGGAGCCATAAACAAGAATGAAGAGGTTCTTTATGCACTGGGAAAGAATAGTCTCCAAAATATATGGAGTTACAAACAAACAAACAAACAAACAAAAAAAAACAGGCAATGAGACAAACTGTGTGAACAGATGCAGTTTGTGTGAAAAGAATGGAGAAGGGATTGGGAGAGAGGCTTCATGATATATGCTTTTTGTACATTTTGAACCATGTGAGTATTGCTTATTTAATATAATAAAATGCAAAGAACCCCTGTTTATGTAATTGAGCTATAATAATTTTTGAAGAATGAACACCACATTTTCTTGCTCAAGGTGATTTTTGTTTTTGAGGTCCTGTAAAATCTATAATTTTTGGAGCAGGAAAAAAAGAGAAACTATGATCAAGGTCAAAATTTACTTGTTGAGATTAAGTCACTAATCTTTTATAATAAAGAACCCTGGCTGGGCGTGATTATCCATTGCCTGTGCTTAATTGCTGTTAACTGTGTGTATAGAGTGCCCTCTAGTGGAAGCATGAGAACATTACAGAATTAAAGGATCGAATTGCCAGAATGTGAAATGTGTAATTGCAAACACATGTGTATGTGTAGCTATCTACATGATATTTTACACAAACATGAAAAAATTAATAAAAACCTCATATCTTTGTAACTTTAGTGTGTTAGCATAAAATGATAAAAGCAAATCAGCCCATGGCTGCGACAGATTTTCAATTTCTCAATGTCTGATAAATATTTTATTATTTCTTAATAATTGCTTTCAGCCACTAAGTAAGCATCTCTCTTCCCAGCTTCACTGAGACATAACTGACATATGACATAGGCAGCTTCGATATGTATAACATGAAGATCTGCTGTATGCACACACTGCAAATGGTCACCACAGTAAGATGAGTTAACACATCCATCACCTCCATGGTTAGCTTTTTGTGATGAGATCTTTTAAGATCTGCTCTCTTAGCAACTTTCAATTATACAATACAGTATGTTTAACTATAGTCACCATGCTGTACCTTGCCTTCCAAGAACTTAATCATTTTATAACTGGAGTTTGTACCCATTGACCACCTGCATCCATTCCCTCCACCACCCCAGGCCCTGGGAACCACTGGTCCACTCTAAGAGTTTGGGGTTTTGAAGATTCTACATAGAAGTGAGATCACATAGTATTTGTTTTTCTCTATATTTCTCTCAGCATAATGCCTACACATTTCATCCATGTTGTTGCAAATGGCAGGATTTCCTTCTTTTTATGGCTGAACGTTACTCCATTGCATACACAGGGTGGGGCAAAGTTGGTTTACAGTTGTTCGTATGGAAAATAATAATCAATAATAATACAAGAATAAACTCTACATTTTGCATACTCACAACTGTACACCTACGTTTTCCCCACCCCGTATGCACCACATCCCCTTCATCTGTTCACCCACTGATGGACACCTCGGCTGTTCCCACACCTTGGCTACTTTAGGTAATGCTGCAGTGAACACTGTGTGCTCACATCTCTCTCAGATAGTGATTTCATTTCCTTTAGTTATTTACCCAGAAGTGGGATTGCTGGGTCATATTGCAGTTCTATTTTTAATTTTTTGAGGAACATTCATACTGTTTTCTACTGTGGCTGTGCCAGTGTACATTCCCACCAACAGTCCATGGGAGGTTCTCTTTCTCCACACCCCTAACCAGCACACGTCTGGTGTCTTTTTGCTAACATTCTAACAGGGGTGGAGTGATACCTCATTGTGGTTTTGATTTGCATTTCTCTGCTGACGTTAGCAACGGAATTGTTGCTCATCTCTCTGCTGCCCTCTTTTTTCGGTTAAGTGATTTGTCAGGTTAAAAGGACCTTCAGGGAAAGACTCAAGGTTTATGGGCCACTTTCGTGAAAATCCCGTTACTAGCATTGCTCTGCACAGGGCTAACTGAGCCCTTAACAGGTCCCCCCAGGGAGATTATATCAGTCAATCAATCAGTCTACTAGGAAACCAGGGCAATTTTCCTGTCCGAACTAGGAAAAAGACTGCCACTCGGCATGGCATGATGGACAATCATGTATATCTCTGTATCTATACCCATATCCACCCACCTACCTTTGAATCTAGTTTTCTTTGTAGCAAGGCTCCAGCTAGTTAACCATGAGCACCATCATGGAAACCAAGCCGTGCCTCCTGGTGCCACTCCAGGTCTAGTAGAACAGAAGAAAGAGAGAGGGAAAATAAAACAAAAGCCTCAGAAATGTGGTGGAATGAGAAGAAATAGGGAAATCAGAAGAGAGGAGAGAGACGAGGCAAAAGGTACCACCATTTACTAACCTATGTGCACACTTCACGCACATTATCTCATTTAGTCTTCACAACAGTCCTATAAGGGAAGGATCACTTTCTCTCATTTTAGAGACATGGAAAAGTAGGACTCTGAGACTTTGATCATTGTATCCATGGTTACCCTACCTAAGCAGCACAGCTGGGATCTGAAGGCAGGTGTGACTAGAGAGCCAGCTCTGCCAGACTGACTCTCAGAAAGAGAAGAAAGGAACTGCAAGGCAAGAGAGAGGAAGGAAAGAAGGAAGAAGGGAAGGAAGGGGAAAAGGGGAACGGTAATGCCAACATAATAGCTGACTGAGGGTCAGGGCCATTCCTATCACAGTCAGAGCTAGAACTTCTTTTTTTTTTCCTGTGTCAGGGGAAATTTCCCCTGAAATTCAGTCACTATCCTGGTGTGTGCTGTTTGAGTGATGTCACTGAGGCTACTATGCACGTCTTTGAAACTTCCCGTGAAGTCGCTGACTTCCTTGGAGAGCCTGCCCATCCAATCCTCTTGGAGGGAAAGTGGGGGAAACAGCTCCGATGTTTCCCAGGTTGGCCTGCTTATCACTGGACCCACTGGAAAGCTCGTGGGCAGCTCCATTTGGGTGATATTTAATGACAATCTGGGACAAATTTAAGGTGAGATGAATCTAGGTTGTGTTTCACCATGGCTACTCTGAAGAACACAGAGACCCAAACACTGACCAATTAAGAAATCTTGTTCCAAAGAACAAAAAAAAAGTTTTTCATCAAAAACACAAGGAATTCTCGGTTATAACCTTGCAGTGAAGAAAACTGGCCATCTAAGAATCACAGGGAAATAAGTGATTATCTTTGACTCAAAAACTTGTTCACATATTCATAAACATAAGCACACAAATACCCCCACCCATTTTTAATATGTGAAAAAAGTAACATTCGTCAGTTCAAATATCCCCTTAGTACTGGAGGCTATTCTGTCTCTGGAGGTTTGCAAAGAAAGTCTTGAAAATCACTTGTCAATGAAGTAGTTGAAGTCCACATGGTAGGCCATGGCCTGGTGCCAACATTTAGCTCATGCAAAATTGAAGGGACTCAATTTGGGGCAGGAAAGGAGATGAGACTGCCCATGCAGTCTTGTCTGACACTGAGATATTAGAGACCTGCTCAAGGAGACTGACTTCTGTTCCTTTCCCTACACAGACATACTGAGGAAACAGCCGCCTTGTCATTCTTCTTGCAAAACCTGCAATGGATCTGCAACCCTGTGCACGTCCTGTCCAAAAGGTTAGTCGGGAGTGTGCCTGGCGGTGGTGGTGGCCAAGCCAACTCACTGTAACCTATGTATATGAGCATCTTTCAGTAAGGGGTGTGCAAGGCTGGATCAAGTCCCATCACAAGTTCCTGTCACGGCGGCTACACTGGAGCAGCACAGGGGCCCGAACACTGACCTACAGTAACAACTGGCTTCCACAGGGCCAAACGAAAAAAAGAAATGTTTCTCACGCAAAAGCATGATGAACTTAGCAATTGCTTTGGTGACAGATTCTGTTAGGGTGTCTGCGTATCTGACATTTCAAGAGGTTCCCCTGCTCTTTCAGAGTGCGTTAGCTGAAACAAGAGAACTTAAAGTAGAGGATCTAGGTCGGGAAAAATAGTCTACCTTTCCTTTCTTTCTTCATTTCTGGTATTGAATTTAGAGGAATAAAGATACAAGAGCAGTGCATAACATCTTAAATTAACTGCTTTGTCATCTATAAAAACAATACTTCAGAAATAACAACTTCCCTGAATTAGGGAGGTGTTTTATTAACATGGTGCGTTAATTGACATTAAGAATTAAGAATGGTATGCTCCCACTACAGTGACCATTCTGTCGGAGTGTGCGATGGTTAACAGCGAGATGGGATGATAAAACAACAGAACTTAAAATGATAGCTGCGCCATGATTCTACTCCTACAAAATAGAACAGTTTACATACAAAAACTGAAGGAACTGTCTTGGAATTTTAGAGTTGACAATGATTTTTAAGTGGTTTTCTTCAACAATGGTGCTAATTTTTTTTTAATTAAAAAAAATAGATGGACTGCCCTGGTCAGGTAGCTCAGTCAGTTAGAGCATCATCCTGATAAGCCAAGTTTTCTAGTTCAATCCTGGTCAGGACACATACAAAAATCAACCAATGAATACATAAATAAGTGGAATAACAAATCAGTGTTTCTCTCCCCCTGCCCTTTCCTCCCTCCCTCTCTCAAATCAATCAATCAATCAATCAATCAATCAATCAGTAATAAACAAACAAACAAACCACCTGTTGAATGGAAGAGTTGCTACTATGTTAGGCCCTAACACGATAGGCTTTGGAAAGCTGAATAGACCCCACCAAGCTGTGCGTGTATAAATTATAAATTGTCTCACACCAGGAAGACAGGTGAAGGTGTGAACAGACTGATCAATTAGGCAAAGGGAAGCCACCAAGTAACCGGCACCAGTATCAGCAGGAAAGTAAAAGAAACAGGGCAAAGACCTCCTGTTGTCAATTTCCTGTCTAGAGATTTAACTCATCCTGCCAGACTTAGCATCGTTACTACATATTTTGTTAGCTGTGAAATACTGGGGTCTCCAGAGCAGTTTCTGCGAGCGCCAGTTCTCTGCAGGGATGTGTGTGCTGTTAGAGCAGACACGGGATGACCGCCTGATCCGCCTTCTTTCTTGCGCTTCTAGGCACATATCTGTTGGCTCAGGCCTGCAATGCCACCTGTCCCCAAGGCACATGGCCCTCAGAGAGCAGTGGCAGCTGCGAGAACTGTACAGAAGACTGTGCCTCTTGCTCTGGAGCCGATCTCTGCGAACAGTGCCGGACTCAGGTGGAACGCCCTCTCTTCCTCCACCGAGGCAGGTGCCACTCCAGCTGCCCAACGTAAGTTTCCTCTCCTTTCTCTCCTTGGTGGTGTTCATTCTCCTGCAGTAATGTGGGCACAATTTCTTCCTATTCACCAAAGAGCTCTTCTCCTCCCTGGTTACAACACCTGTGCATGCCTGCGCAGATGTTCCTTCTTGACTGTCAAATATCACTGTTGGCCACAGCAGCCAACACTTAATGCCAGATGCACACTTCTCTCTTGTAATGATTATATGTGTGTGTGTTTACTTTTGTATAATTGGTTTTTTACACTTTCTCTTTATGATCAAGTAGTTGTCATTTTTCCATCACAAAAGTAAGGCAGTGGAACACACGAACCTCTTCTGTTTAAAGTAAGTGAAGTGTGAATCAAAGATGATAAAGAAAAGACCTGGTTAAATAATCGATAATTATTTATCGATTCCTCATGGCTTCATAAGTGTCCTGGTTTATAATTCCTTTCCTTTCTGTCGATGTCCCCACTTCCGGGATTTACATAAAAGGGAAGAGGGAGTAGCAAACGAGAAAGTACATCAGGAAATTCTCAGTGACAAGCAACAAAAATGCCAAGTAGAATGAGACAAAACAGGGTTTATTATAATCTCACATGACAACATGTTTAGAAATCCCATAATGGTTATTATTTTATATTCAGTGGCCAATACCTTATTAAAAGCGCATGATCTTTCCATTTTGCTCTTGTATCTTCCTTAGCCTGTCCTCCCCTGGGCCACATCATCTGTCCCATCTCCACACATCACCACCCCATGCTGCAACCACACACAGGAAAGGACTTGGTGCTCCTTATTTATCTTTTCTCAAGAGGAAAAAAACTTCCTCATACCTCTCTTCGCATCTCATTAGCCAGGATGCATTACTTATACCTTACCTCACCGGCAAGAAGAATAGAAATAAAAGGATCAGTTTAGGCTGAACAACAGTCATCCCTGAAAACCCAAGTAAAATCGGAACACTGACCGCCGGGACGACTGGACAGGGAGATGAGAAATGAGTTTGGGGAAGTAGCCAACAGAATCTATTTGAAGGAATTAGAAATTTCATTTTCCCCCTGATTGAAAGAACTTGATGATGAAAACAGCACCTATTTCCTAATGACCTATTTGTATCCACTACTGAGATAAACCCTGTAGGGTTCAAATACAAGTCCAGATACCCACCCTCAAGAAGCTTCCAATCCGGTGTAGAAGCCAATTGTATTCAAGTCAATAGTACAGATACATATTAGGCAGCCACTAGGTGGGCAAGAATCGATTCTGGAAGCTACATTAAGATCATATGGATGAAGTCTGAACCTGCAAAAGGCTTACGATCCAGTAGGGGAAGTTTACATCAATTATTGTCATACTTCTCACAACCCAAATACACAAAAGGCTAAGAGATTCCAAGGGAGAGAAACCATTCAAAAACGGCCTCTTGTTGAATGTCTGCAATGTCTCAGCCCTGCGCAAAGCTCTGCAAGTGCAGGATCCAGCAATCCTCACATGAACCTTCTTCCCCAGATACCATTGTTATGCCTGCCCCCGACTTCGCAGATGAGGGGAGGGGTAAGGACAGCCAACAGCACAGGGCTAATACACGACGTGGTCGGGGATTCCAACCCAAACCGCTGCAGCCCATGTTCCACCATTGCACAATGCCGCATTCTCATCCAGCTGGGGTTCCCTTCTCTTCAGTAACGGCTTTGTTGAGATATAATTCATATACCACACAACTCACCAAATAGCCTATGCAATTCAATGGTGTTTAGCCTATTTATACAGCTGTGTGATCATCACCACAACCGATTTTAAGACATGTCCATTGTCCCAAAAAAGAAAACTCTGTACCCTTTTAGCAGATACTCCCAATTTCCCCCAGCCCCAAGCAATCATGAATTTACTTTCTGTCTCTATAGATTTGCCTATTCTTCAACAGTTCCTCCAAATAGAATGCTTCAAAATGTGATCTTCTGTGACTGGTCTTTTCTACAGCATAGTATTTTCAAAGTGTTACTGTTTCTGAGCAACGCCCCTTTTGGGTGCAATCCATCCTAAAACAGCAATAAGATGCATAATGGGAACACAGCCTGCAATGAAAGAGCATTCAGTACTCAGAATTATTTATAAGTCAGCACTAGTGGCCACAGCTTTTTCAAATACAGTATGTATTCATGAAAGAAAAAAGTTTAAGTAGTAACATACATCATGATGGTGACTGTTTAAAAAAACATTGCAAAACCTAAGGTGTACTCATACTCACCAAACGTGAACAGATGGGAAGCGCTGGTAGAAGAAAAGTGTCTTCTTTTAAGTGCTGTCACTGTCTTGGTGCCTAAAATACAGGTGAAGCTCCAGAACCATAGAGCTTTCACATTCCATATATTTATCTGAGCCAAAAGACTTCAACATAAACTACTTTGAATGTAGCAATTTAATACAGGTGGCCATTTCTTCTAAAAAGAAACATCTGTCTTCTTAAATAAAAATAACAGTGAAATAAAGCATTTACAAATACATTTTGTGAATGCAGGGAGAAGACAGGGGACAAATTTCTGGGCCGGTCTGTGTGGGGAAGGCTGCTTGTAGCAAAGTGGCTCCCTGAAAGACACCTTCTCACACTGGCATCTGCCTGCCTCCTGACACACTCCTGACATTTGTGTATTTTTGAGTTAGCAGTAATCTTCAATAAGGTTTTTTTCCTTTTTTGCTTGAATCCATTCCTTTGTTTTTAGCATATCATCCAACTTCCACCGACACCTTTATGAGAAAAATCTGAAGAAGGTTTCTTTGTGTTGCATCTTTTCAAATTCTGGAATGCTCATCAGTGTCCAGAAACTATTCTTGAAAGGCCTTGGTCAGGCCTAGCAGTAAAAATTCCCCAGAGGTCAAGTGATAGGTATCACATGTCCCCAAGTCCCCAGCCTCTAAACATAGGTTGGTCCTTCCAGCTAGGCCAATCCTCACCCTAAATCTAGAGGGTATGGCCAGCCCCACCTCCACTAATTTTGTTAGCATCAACTATCAGGTGTGGCTGGATGGGCCAACGAGGATTCACATGGACATCTTACCACTCGGCAAATTCCAAGAGTTTAGACGTTAGCTAGGATGACAGGCCAGATCCCTCTTTGGATGAGGCCAAGTTCTTCACTACACACATAGAAACAACGAATCCACCACATTCTTCTTCAGGTAGAAGATGTGTATGTTTGAGAATGCACCAAATTCCCTTAATTTCAAATTTCTCAAATTCAACCAAACTCTTGGTGAGCATATAATACATTTCTAGCCACTGTCTTGTCAAACTCCTTTTTAAGAGATTGACTTGGTTGAACAAAGTAGCAGTGTCTTCTTTCTTCCAGTGTTTTCCATCATGGTCCAAGATGTGTAAGGAAGCCAGGTCTTAGCTTTCATCTGAACACTGTTTAGTTCCCCCTCTTCAACCTAAACTGCTTTTCCCTCATCTTTCTTTCTTGAAACCACATTAGAAATGCAACTTTTCTTCACCCCTGTCGCTCCCCATTTCTTCCTGACACACTCAAGATGTTTACTAAACAAATGCAAAAAATTAGGGAATGAAAGAATGACTGAATGGATGTGAATGAGTGAATTAAAGCATTAAGTAAAGATGCTTTATAGCCCTTTATTGGCTGTAGGATTCAAAGAGGACTCCAGTAGATTGAATTATTTGCTGCAATCCTTAGCTCCTCCCTGTATCTATGCCTTCTGCCTGTAACTTTGCAGCAACCTCCAGGAGAGGCAGAATGGACTCCCTGACCCTTAAGCTTTGGCTGGGTTATTTAACTTGCTTTAGCCAATGGGATGTTAGCAGAAGAGAAGCTGAAGCTTAAAATGTGTTTGCCTTGAACTTGCCTTCGTTTACTTCTGCCAAGGCTAAAAGAAGAGCATGTCTCACAAGTCCCCTGTGCTAGGAAGGATCGAGGGAGGTGAAGAAGACCTGCACCCAGTGTGCAGCCTGGAGTCAAGCCTCCTTCCCCCAGAGTGCATGACTGAGTTCTTCCTATACAGTTACATATGCCTCTTTGAGCTCGAGCTCAGCCTACAGGTATATGAGTGGCAACGAGTTGGGACTGTTGTGTTACACAGCACTATAAGAGTGATAGCTGACTAATAGAAGAATAATTACAGAAAACAATTGTAAGAGGTACCTAGAACCTCAGGAGACCATCATCTTTAAACTGGTCTATCATTTTATCACTTCTGCAAATTCCAGCTCTTCCCTTCATCTTTCCCTTCAAAGAAACATTGTCTATACTTCTCTCATCTCCCAAATATAGTTGAGAGGGTAGGAGTGTTTTCATATTTACTCTATTCACACAACAATGAGTGATTTCTATAGTGTGGTAGTTAAATCATTCAGAGGTACAATGTGTGCAGACATCAAATTCCACCTTGAAGAAGTCAATCACACAACATACACTCCAATAGCAGTATATACTCCAAATATTTGATGCTGTGTGCAAATGTTGTATGTTCTTGAAAAAGCCATCAGAGATTGGCTCAGAACATCCAAAAGCAAAAGAAAAAGTGCTTCCAGTTTTATAGGGCATTAAATCTTTTGAGCCTTTTGGAAGTAATTTTTTAAATTTGTTAAATTGAATTTTTATTTTAAAAATGTATTAATTGAATAAAAAGCATTTCCTACTCTAACATAAAAATAAATAAAAATTAGCAGATAAAAATAAAGAAATCAGAAGATGACTAAGATTTACAAACATTAACCAAAGTTGTTTTCAAACAAACCAAATTCACAAGGATGGTATCTATCCCTTTTATTTTATTTTTCCAGACTTGACTTTTGACCATACTTCCTCAGGAAATCTGATAGATCCATTTTGTTCAACAAGAGCAGTAGTCCTTCGTTTTCAGTCCGAATTTCTCTGCCACCAGGTGTGAATCATCTTCTCACTTGGAAGGCTTCCCCAGTTGCTCTCTCTTCTTCCCACAGGGGCTTCTATGCAGAAGATGGCATGTGTAAACCCTGTAGCTCTCCTTGCAAAACATGTGAAGAAAATGCCACCAACTGCCACTCCTGTGAAGGAGGCCTCGTCCTGGACCAAGGAACATGCCAGAAAACGTGCTCTGAGAGGCACGTGGCGGTGGAAGGGGTATGCAAGCATTGCCCAGAGATGTGCCAGGAGTGCCTCCATGAGAAAACATGCAAAGGTACCTGGGAGCATCCCCAAGGAAAGTGTGGCTCTACCAAGCCACCCCAGCTGGGGGCCAACTATCTGAGGGCTGGGTGTCCAAGCAGAATTGAAGGAGCCAGTCTCCCTACCTTAAGTGAAATCTGTCTACCTCTGTGCATATCACTGAGGAAGGTGAAGTGAGACAAAACCTTTCCATTATGGATCCTGCAAGTTAAGACAGAAGAGAGCATCTTTTGTATGTCTTCTTCCACACACATGTGCTGAGCACTGAGAGCATGCCAGCACTGTCCCAGGTGAAGCCTGTGACTGTGCTGCACAGTACTGTTAACTCTAAGAGTAATGCTCTGGCTAAGATTTTTTTCTCTGGAATTATCCCCCAAGAAAGGCTAATTTCCTTTCAGGGTAAGACAGACTCATATAATCAGTGTTATCCTATCCAAACAATTCTCTTGGCATAAACTAAAGTGTTTTTTTTTCAAAATAAGAGAACAAACACAAACCCACAATGCATTCTTCATACTGATTAAACATGTATATTTCAGTGGTCTACCCTATCAGTAAATGAAAAATTAATGAATCCAAGAGCTTCTAACCTGCTTTTTGTATTAAATAAAGCCTGCGGTGCTCAATACAGCTTGAAAAATCTGTTAAGCTTTCTGGGTTTTTGAAACAGCATCTCCAGCATCTCAGCCATCACTGCTCTGCCCCAGCACCACGGTCTTTTGTACCTCCAAGGGCAGATCATTTCAGGATGCAAACCCCGCATCATCTAAATGGGCCACCATATGTGATTTCCAATCCAAAGGCAGGGCTTTGGGGGCACGGATGTGCCCTGGCTGGGTGGAGTCAGGGCAAATGTGTACATAGATCAAATGAGCCAAAATGGTGGGGGGTGGGCTAGCGACCGCGGAAAGAATGAACCCTTTCTCCTGTCTCTGTGGGGATAACTGCTGTTTCCCCCACTCCAGAGTGCATCCCTGAATCCTTCCTATACGAGGACACATGCCATCAGTCCTGCCCCCCCCACTTCTACATGGACACGCGCGAATGTCTTCCCTGCCACGAAGACTGTCTGGAGTGCAATGGCCCCTCGGGTGACAACTGTGAAATCTGTGCTCACTCATCCTTCGTTTTCTATGATGGGCAGTGTTTGGACGAGTGTCCAACAGGAACATACTATGAAGAAGAGACTAAGGATTGCAAAGGTAAAGACTTCGGGGTACAGGACTGAGCGCCAAACCCCAGGGAGCCAAGTGAGGTTATGCTGGGGTTTCCATCCAGATGAATTTGGATCTGGGGTTTGCACAGTTCTGGCCCCAGAACTGTTGTCTCACCCCTTTCCTTTCTATTTTGAATCTGCTCTAATTTATTTTTTCTTTAAATGAGTCATTCATTAGTTTTGATTGCATAACTTTTATCAACAATGAATAATGTTGACTCTTCATCACAACAGTGGCTGATCGAAGAGGAGTCTCACATGAAGATTTACAAGACATGATGAGTCCTCAAAAGTGACCCCAAGTGAAAAATTTTTCTTAAAACTTTAAGCTATCAAAAGTTTACAGCAGCATAAGGAGGGCTGTGCCACAGAGGATTTTCTCGGTGCCTCTTGTCTCCCTTCATCATTCACCCCCTTCCTTCAGCTTCACCCCAACTCCTCCTGCCGTGGGCCCCCTGGTCCACCTTGCACTTGGCACTTCAATTCCTACATGTTCAAAAAAGAAGCTGCCATTATTTATGCCTTCTTATGTTTTACTGGACATAAATTCTTTGCCTCTTACTAGTTTTCAGAGAACAGAATTTTTGATGAACTGCCCATTACTAGAGGAATTCTCAAGCAAGTGAGAGAGGCATTCTGGGGAAAGGAACTCTTTCCCCCCCACCATTTCATTAAGATGTAATTGACATATAGCCTTGTGTAAATTTAAGGTGTATGACGTGATGATTTGATATACATATGTGTTAGGAAATGGTAACTTTTTTTTGGTAAGAATATTTAAGATCAGTTCTCTTAGCAACTTTCAAGTGTACAGTACAGTGTTAAGTAAAGTCACAGCATGCTCTCCCAGGAGGCAGACAGTGGTGGCTTAGCCCACGGTGCTGCCCCCAAGCCAGCACAAGATCCGTATCCAGAGGCAGGCCCCGTAAACACAGTGAGAGCTTGAGGGTAAACGCACACAGCAGGAAAACCCTTGGGCCACTCATGTCCAAGAAGGCAACCAGAGGAATGTTTTTCATGAGACATAAAGATATATCTCACTACTGAAGGCTTTCTGCTCTAGCCTTATGATCAGGATATACCTTTTCTTGTATTATGTACACTCTTTAGTGTCGATGTCCCACCAAGACTTGAAGATGGGCAGCCATGCCCCTATAGCAGAGGGGAGGGGGTGCACACAGGAGACAGACTGTTGACCTGGGGAGTCAGCTCTCCTGAGAAGTGTAGAAACTCCACCAAAGGGCTGCAGTGCCATCTTGCCTGTACTAGGGCAGGAACTGGAGGTCAACTTCCGGCCTTTCTCTGGTGTTCTTTGCCATATAGAGATCTTTACAGGTCTCAGAGTGCTTACTGTACTTCATGTACCTGGTTTTATCTTCTCGTTGAGAAAGGCCTCTGATTCTCATCCCTGTTTGCCCATTGGTATCAACTGCAGAGCTTTTTAAAAATACCAACGCCTGGGCTCACTCAGTCAACTCCACTGTCAGAAACTGACTGGGGGTCTCTCCCTGCAATACTAGTGTACCTTCTACCAGTCCAAAGGAAGGCTGAGGGAAGCTGGCACTAGAAGAAACAGGTGACCACTCTGACTTTACAGAGAGAAGAAAACAAAGAATGTGACTTAAAAATTAAGATTTGGGTAGGTATAGAGAAGCATTTGGAACAAAGCAAGATCCCCATAAGAAACACAAGGACTCAGGATCCATTCTGATCACCCCAAATTATCCCCCATGAGACAGCACAGACACCTCTAAGATTCCCACACCTTTCCCAAGGTGCTGGGGCAGAAATAGCAGGTGTTCTTGTTAAGGTCCTGGGTTCACCTCCTTTTCCAGCCAAGTGACTCAGCACCTCCAGCCTATATTTCCTGAGATAGATAAAATGAGATAATGATGATCACAATACTACTGTGCGTCTATTCAAACAGTGAGTGCTTGCTGGGGGCCTACTATACACTGTGTGCTCTTTGGGCCTGGGGAACAACAGGGCACATCACAGACAGAGTCCTGTCCTTTCGGAGCTCACATACTTTTGGGGAAGGCAGATTCTAAACAAGATAAATAAAAAGAGAAAATAAGGCAGGGAAGGCGGACAGGGAGCTGGGGAGAATGGAGCTGAAATTAGAGAGAAGGTGGCCTGGAAGGTACCATTGATAAATGAAAAGGGGAACCACGCATAAAGCTGGGAGATGAGAATTCTAGGCAGAGAGAACAGCAATGGCTAAAACCCCAAGATGGGAAAAAACAGTTATTTTATTTGTCCAACAAATATTTACTGAGTGCCTGTTATATTCCAGACGCTCTCCTAGGCATTGTGCATTCATAAATGAATATTAAAGAGGTCTTTTTTGTCAACAGGTAATTATAATATATATCAATGCTAATGATAAGCTCAAGGTATTCTGGGAGGTCACTGGAGGACCACAGAATAGGAATTATTACAACACATTGGTGAAAAGGCCACAAAGCAGTGTGTGACCATTCTGCTGCCGAAGTGCTTATTATCATTTGTTGCAGTTTATAGTGAGTAATTATAGTGAGCCTTACTAATATTTTGAGGTGGTTGTTGCAGAAAGGGGCTCTGTAATGATGACAGAGAGTACAAAACAGCCATTTTTTCTGAATTTTGCAATAAGAATGCTTGACCAGAGCCCAAGAACTGTACCCAAGTCATGGCTCCACACCACTGGCACTAGAAATCTCTGAAAGAAACGAGGAAGGCATGTGACTACACTTTCCAGGGGAACTGACTCCCTAGCAGGGCCGTCTGGCCCACTCTCATGCTCTGCTGCCTCTACCCACCCACAGATTGCCCCAGGTCCTGCAAGACCTGCTCGTCAGCGGGGTCCTGCACCACCTGTCTGGAAGGCCAGAGGCTGAACAACCATGGGGTCTGCGTGCCTCACAAGGAATGCCCCCCCTCCGAGTACTGGGATGTGGAGGCCCTGGGATGCAAGCCCTGCCATACCAAGTGCTTCCGCTGTACAGGGCCCTCCGAGGACCAGTGTCACACCTGCCCCAGGCACAGCCTCCTTCTCAGTGAGTCGCCCTCCTCTGAGGTGGGCTTTATCTATCCCTCCATCTGGGAAACTACTTTTCGTGATGCTTGGCACCCAGTTAGATATTGGTGCCTTTCTTTTTAACTTTTTACTTTGTGTCTAAAATAGTTTCAAACCTACAGAAAAGATGGAAGAGTAAGAACAGTTCAAGACCACCACACATATGCCCTTTACCCACCTCATCCTTTGTTAATCTTTTACCTCACTTGCTCTACCATTTTCTTGTGCTTGTTTCCTCTCTCTCTCCATGTGTACGTATACATAATCCACAATACATTTTTTCTGAACCATCTGAGGATGTGTTACATACATCACGGATACATTCCCACAAATACTTCAGAATGTATTTATTTCTAGGAATAGGGATACTTTCTTACATAACCACAGCAACTAGCTGTCAACTCTAGTAATTTAACATTTATACAATACTTTAATACACCATCCAAATTATAATTGTGTCAATTCCCCTTTAGGTGCCATGTCTTTTTAGCCTCCTTTAGTCTGACACATTCCACAGAGGAAAACTGCATAGAGGATGCTGGGTCCTTCCGAAGGCACACAGTGTTCACACAACCCTCTTTGGTGATGTTAATTCTGGTCACCTGTTCAGGTCACTGTCCAATTTCTCCACTTAATAGTTACTGTTTTCGCTTATAATTAAAGATGCAGTTTGCAAAGAGACACTTTGTGAGTATGTAGATATTCAGGTCCTCATCAAAATTTCTCCTTGTCCTGGCCAGCTGGTTGGAGTACCATCCCATGACTGAAAGGGTGCGAGTTCCATTCCTGGTCAGGGCACATGCCTGGGTTGATGGTTCGATCCTTGGTCTGGGCATGTACAGGAGGCAACCAATCGATGTTTCTCTCACACTGATGTTTCTCCCTCCCTTCCTCTCTCTCTAAAAGCAATGAAAAAAAAGTCCTCAGGTGAGAATAATATAAATTTTCCCCCTTGATTTAGCATCTGTTAATTAATAAATCTTGAACAAAGTATGTCACAGTCTGGGGTTGGCCCCCTCCAGCATGTCACCTATGAAGGTTATTGCTAATATGAGGCAATGACCTCAGGTTTCCAAGGATACCATGATTAGGCTTAATTATGGTATGGAAGGAAAAAATGAAACAAAACTCAACTGAAAGAAGGAGCAGTGGAGGGGTATAAAAAAGAAAGACAGAAGACACAATATGCTCAAGACTTGGAAAGTGTTAAAATTCATCTCCCCAACCTGGTAGAGCAGACCTGAGAAGCAAGACACATAAAAATACGTGACAATGTTTCCTCTTCTTGTTGAGATGTCATCAGCTGGGGCACCATTCCTTGGCTAAGACACAGGGACAGCTATCATCATACCATTCCTGATCACCTCCTAACAGAAAACACTCCAAGATATCAGTCTTCTCTATCCATCCATCTTAGCTCCACTTACACAATTCCCAGTGAACTTTCTTCCAGAAGTTACTGCTTCATAAGATCATTCCATGCCCTGGTTGGTGTAGCTCAGTGCATTGAGTGCTGGCCTGCAAACCAAGAGGTCACTGGTCTGATTCCCTGTCAGGGCACATACCTGGGCTGCAGGCCAGGTTCCTCTATGGGTCCAAGCAAGAGTCAACGAATTGATGTTTCTCTCCCACATTGATGTTTCTCTCCTTCCCTTCCCCTCTCTCAGAAAAGAAATAAAATCTTTTCTTAGAAAAACATGCCAGATCTTTGTATCATCCCAACCACCAAGAACTTCTTTTCTAATCATCCTCAACCTAGAGCGCTACCAGTGATCACCTCAGGTGCCCCCACACAGACAAGGCGACGTCTTATCAGTACAAGGTTGTCTTCTCTTAAACTAGGGATACAAATCAGGCTAGAACTGAGACTTCAGTGCTAAGGTATAATACAGAACATACTGTGTAACCCTGCACACAGTCCCCCAAGGGCTGGGTACAGGACGTGATCAGGCCTGGCCTTCCCATATTCTCCCGCCCCAGCCCTCAGCACTGCCCTTTCAAGGGCCAGGCTAGGCATGAACTGGATGATTCCTCCAAAGGCTGTGGTAGACTGAACAATACTAAACACCCCAAAACAAGATTCACCCCCTAAAAATGTACATATCCTAATCCCCAGACCCTGAGAATATGTTACCTAACATGGCAAAAATTATTTTGCAGATGTGATTGCACTAATAGTCTTGATCTGGCAGGATTATCTTGGATTATCACAAGGGTCTGTATAAGAGGGGGCAGCATTGTCAAAGTTAGTAGTTCAAGGCTATGTGATGTCAGAGCAGAATAGAGAGAGAGAGAGAGAGAGAGAAGATGCTATATTATGACTATGAAGACAGGGAAAGGAGCCACAAGCTGAGGAGTGCAGGCGGCCTCCAGAAGCTGAAAAGGGCAAAGAAACAGATTCTCCCCCAGAGCCTCTATAAGGAGCATAGCCCTCTGGACCCATTTTAGAAATCTGAGTTCCAGAACTGTAAGATAATACAGCTGTACTGTTTTGCATCATTAAGTTTGTGGTAATAAGTTACGACAGTACCAGAAAACTAATACAGAGGTGTTTCATCTTTAAGAGATTAAGGACTCCCCCTAGTTAACCAGATACATCAGCTGGACAATGAACCATTGTCAACATCCATCTTTAACAAAACAGCCACCAAACAAACACTCAATGGGGACCTGGCCCTGTGCTAGGTGCTGGAAAAGAATGACATGCCCCTGCCTTCAAGCAGCTCAGAGAGTCTCCCAGTACATGGGTTGAGTCCACTGCAGCTCTAATATGATTTAGCTTTTCCACTAGTGACCGTGCTTTCTGCTGACTGGAGTTATGGAGAAACTGGCTTATGGTCTGATCTAGACTTGACCAGTGGCTAACACTGAAAACACAGGAAAGCCTGACTTCCATTCAGTAAGGTCAAGCTGAGATGGAAGAAGTTGCCTCTAAGAGCTGCATGCTAAACTGTAAAGCCAGCAAATTTCCATTTTTTGCTTTCTAATTGAAACACCCTCAATTTCCACCCCTAAATGTTGTTAAGGAAGAAGAATCAGTGGCTCCACTAGGGCTGGTGGAGGAAGGACAGGAGTGGTGTGGGGCTGAACAGCTCAACTCCAATTCACTCTCTGTACAGAGCAGAGGATTGACAGTTGTTTTTCTTTTAAAGATTTATTTATTTATTTTTAGACAGAAGAAAATGGAAGAAGAAAGAGAGGAAGAGAAACATTAATGTGTGGTTGCCTCTTGCACACCCCCACACTGGGGACCTGGCTGCAACCCAGGCATGTGCCCTGACTGGGAATCCAACTGACAACCCTTTGGTTTGCAGGCCAGCACTCAATCCACCAAGCCACACCAACCAGGGCCAGAGAATTTAAGATTTTAATTGTTAAGTACATGGGCAAAATAGAGTCTGTCCTGATAGAAATGTTTTATGTCTGGGCTCATGCAACTGAGGAACTGAAGTTTTATTTCATCTTAAATTCACTTAAATTTCAAGATCCATAGTGTGCAGACAGTACAGCAGAACTGAGTGTAAAATCTGGTATGTATTGAAGGAAATACATTCAAGACTATCTAGAAAGTTGAAATTGTGGGAAGGTATCATTATACTTTCTGCCTTCTTCAGGGAAGCCTTGACTCAGGCCCTGCCTTAAATGCACGCCCTCTCCTGGGAGGCCCCATACAGTCTCTGGCTCATTTGGACAGACTGGTTTCTGTTCTGCCCAACACGGCCAGTCCACTCTGACTTCTCTTTTCTCTCACCTTCTAAAGGCCTTATGGTTGATTCTATTTCTTAGATATTCTTCTTAGTTCCCAAGGATATCCATCAGCCCACAGGACACTATCTCATCCCTCCTGCATCCCCCGCCCCCTGCCATAGTAGAGAGTGGGGAGCATATAGAGGAGGTTTGGGAGACTTGTGTCATACTTGATACCAAGACAGACTCTTCCTACCTTGGCAGACACAACTTGTGTGCAGGACTGCCCTGAGGGCTACTATGCTGATGAGGACAACCACCAGTGTGCCCCCTGCCACAGCTCTTGCGGGACATGTGAAGGGAGACACAGCATGCAGTGCCTCTCCTGCCGACCAGGCTGGTTCCAGCTGGGAAAGGAGTGCCTGCCCCAGTGCAGGGAAGGGTAAGTTACTCAACACACTTTTCCCTCATTTAATCATGTAACCACTCCAGATCTCACTATTAGCAAACCTATTCTGCAGATGAGGAAGCAAATCTCAGAACACTTATATAGCCAGATTTAAGTCTCACTGCCAGGAAGGGACAAAGATGAGAGTCCACCCCGGCCTTATAGTCTCTAAAGGATTTCCGCCAGTTCAGAGTAACGGAAAAAGTAAACAGGAGAGGCCAGCAACTTGATGAGAGAACACAAAGGGTCAGATTGTTAAATCAGACTCATGGGCCAAACTTCACTAAAAATTCAAAGGTTACAAGCAACCACAAGAAGTGAGGCATTCTTCCTTTAGAGAAATCTAAGACATCGAATACAGGTTCTTTCTCTTCTGAATTCAGATTTGTTCAGATCACATTTAGTATGTGAGGTCTAAGCAATGTTTGTGTAGCACTGCTTTCACAAAAGAAATAATTTCAGTTAAATATCTCCATTTAACTCTCCACTAATTCTGTAACCTGCCATGCCCCCCTTAAACCCACAAATTAAGGCTTAGTTATCATAGACAACCTAAACACACAGGTGTATCCTTCTAAAAGCGTTTCACAAATAAGAAATCTCTATTATTTTTCTTCCAGGAAAAACTATTAGCATATTTATTAGAAAGTCTGCTGACAAGCATATTTGGAAGATGATTTGACTGGGTCATCCCTTTTTTACCCCTAGGCATCCCCAGTAAAAAGAAAGATTGATTACAGGCCTTTTGGTAACTCTTCCTTCCCAATAAGTAACCTAGAGCACTGAGAGTTTCCAGACCCAAACTGAAAAGCTGTAACCTTAAACTTTCCACACATGCTTTTGCCCAAATCGGCGCATCTCTTTAGTTCAATAGCAATCACTGCTTGTATGACTCATTTTAGTACTGTAACTGCCTTGCGTTTTCATTTACCTCATTCATTTGCTCATTCATTAAACATGTGCTTAATGAGGAACACCTTGTATGTATAAGATGAGTAAAGTACTCTTCCTCAAATCAAGTCATTCCATATTCTTATGCACAAGAAAGGGAGTATAATCCTGTGATCTAAATAGATTGCAGACAATGGAATTAAGAAGACAATTTTTCTACTGTATGCGAATTTGCCCATTGGGAAGACAGGCATGGATTGCCATAAATCTTTTTAATGGAGAATAAATAGGGTGTTAATAAGGTATAAGTGGAGATTTTTTGACTGAAATTGTTCCTCTTGTAAAATCAATGATCCACATACATTGCATAAACTTCATATGTTAAATATCTTTGCCTTGGAAAGGCATTTATGTAACTGTCTGCACCCAGTCCCAACACACACAATTATTTTAGTTTTTGACCTCAGAGCAGGATCTTAAAGGCCCTGGTGACTGTGCTTTCGCACAAGGTCAGGCTTAAGAGATTCACAGTCACCTGATGCAAAAGAGTCATCAAAGTAAGCAGGGTCACTGTACTCTTCTTTTAATCTGTTCCGGTAAAATCTCCATTTCTTTCTTTCAGCATTACCCTTTTTGTTTTTATTGAATGTATTGGAGGTGACTCTGGTTAACAAAATTACACAGGTTTCAGGTTCCCAATTCCACAACACACCATCGGTACAATGTATAGTGTGTTCAGCACTCCAACTTAAGTCTTTATCCATCATAGCATTACCCTTGATAATTTTTAAAATCTGCTTGGTATTGATAAGCTTTTTTCCCCATAGGGTCCTATTGATTCTTTTTGTCTTCATAATGTTAGTAAAGAATGTTTGTAGGATGCTCTAGAGTTTACACAGTATTCCCATTCACAATGTATGATTTGATTCTACAACTATCCTATGAGGTTGATATTATTCTCTCCACTTCACAGATAAGGAAAGCAAAGCTCAGAAACGTTAAATGACTTAGTCAAAGTCACACAGCTACTTATACATAGTGAAGTTAAAACCAAAAATGAGATCCTCTGACTTCAATCCTGTGTATTCCCTCCGTTCTGTACAGCTTTTCACTCTTCCCTGTTGCTTTCTCTTTGAAATCTTATATGATCTTTATCAATTCTTCAGTTCATGGTTGGTACTTTCTTTTGTTCCCTCATCATCTTGTCTCTCAAATACCTCAGAATTTCACTCAGTGACTTACTGTAATTGTTCTTCATCTAACTGCAGAAGGGGGAACAAGGCTTCATCTGCCACAAACCAGGCCACTGAGGTACAAGTGTACACACTCAGATCAGTGACAGGTAGCTAGGTAGAGGCAGGCTCAGCATTATATAGCCATGGCATAGTTTTCAACGAGTTAGTACAACTAAAATAATCTTAAAAAAAAAAAAAAGACTACTGGACCCAATAGTTTTGCACCAGAGAAACCAAGGGTCAAACCTTTGGGTTTCTAGTATAACTTCAGTGTGCAGACGTCCAGAGATGCCAAGATGGCTCAGATGGCCCTGTAGAATTCATCTCTGACAATGATTCCTGTTCCCCTATCTTATGTGAATTTTTTAATTTACCTTCAAATAATGCACTGCTTTGTTACAGTAGCACCTAACAGATAAGTTCAAATCCTATTTCCCACTTTACTAGCAGTCTCACCTTAAGCAAACTGTCTACATTCTCTGAGCCTAAGCTTTTACTATGTAAAATACAAATGTCATAAGGTTTACTTTGAGGATTAATCATAAAATAGTTAATTATCACTAATATACATTAATTACCCATAATGTATTAGGCACAGTTCTAATGTTTTTCAGGAATAACTTGTTTAACTTTAGGTACTTACTGTACATTACCCCATATTACAGATCTGAGACACAGAGAGGTTGTGTGATTTGTTCAAGGTCACACAGCTCATTAGTGGTATGGCTGGGCTTTGACCCCATGTAACCTTGTTTCAAAGGACAAGCTCCTAACTGCCACACTCTATCTAGTGTTTCATTTTTAGGTTCAATAAGATGAAAAATATTAAGTTTATGAAGTTCCTAGTGTACTATTAGGTATATAGTAGAAACCTAATGAACACTGATTGCTGTTATAGTTAGCCTACAAATATCTTTTCAATAGAAGTTATATCTGTTATTATGAAAACATCAACATCACTTATGTCATCTGCTATTTCCAGATGGTTTTTAAATTGAGAAATTAGAAAAACCACTCAGAGGAACATTTAAAATGTCTTCCATTCTGATTCCATTCAACACAGCTTAAAGCTTGAATTTTTCAAGTGGAGAAGCACAGGGCTGTATAGAAGGCAAAGGTAGTTAATAATTTTTGTGGTGCTACCACATGTGATAAGAACAAGGTCCTTTCATGTATGTTGTCTAACTTAATCCTCATAAATAGCAGGGGGAGACTGTAATGCCCAAATTACAGATAAGAAAACTGAGAATCATTAACTTTATTAGTATAGCTAGTAATAAATCTAATGAGTAAAGGTTGTGAGTAAAGAATCTAAATTCTTTCAGCTTATAAATAAATGGACACTGTGTGACTAACCGTGATTTTTCCACCACACCCAACTTAGGAGCAAAGCTCAGAATTCAGTCTCTGCTTCCCTCCTTGATTGCAGATATTACGCAAAAAACTCCACTGGACAGTGTGAGAGGTGCAACAAGAGCTGCAAGGCCTGCCGGGGCCCACGGCCCACTGACTGCCTGACTTGCGATACATTTTTCTTTCTGCTCCACTCCAAGGGAGAGTGTCATCGCACCTGCCCAGAGCATTACTATGCAAATCAAAGGACAAAGACCTGTGAGAGATGCCATCCGACCTGCCATGAATGTGAAGGTGAGGGTGCACCTATCATTTTGCATGTGTGAATGGAAAGGTACAGTTTTCCTTCCTGCTTATCCTCTCTTTTCTTCCACCACCTTTAGTGGTCCCTCTTGCTTGCCAACCTCATAACCAATCCTCTCCTGCAGCAGCACCCTCTGTATTCTGTCCGTGTCTGCAGCTGCCCTCTGACCTGGGCTGCACTGCTGCCACACTGCTGCCTCTTCAGAGTCTCCCATCCTTCAGGACCCAGACACAGGTATTGTCTCCTCCAGGAAGTGCTTTACACCTAGTCTGTCTTCCTTCTCCACCTGCTAAGCATGGAACCTGCTGCCTGGCAAAACTTAATATATTTTCATTATTTCAACAGTTACGTAGGATATCTGCCTCAAACTCTCCCAAGCTTCATTCCTGGTTTCCAGATACCTACTTATCTGCCCCTTAAAGACAACATGTCCCAGAGCAAACACAATCTGGGTTTCCTCTGATATTCACTCTTTCTGATAATGGGTCCACTCTCCAACCAACTGCCCAGGTTTGAAACCTTGAAGCTACCTACCCCTTGCCTCCTGTCCAACCTACCTGCCCTTCAACAATGGTAAACTTCAAGGTCTGTTAACTGTCTCTCCTACCCATTCTCTCTCCTAAGCATTTCTCTACTCAGATATCCTTCTGCATTCTCACTATCCTCATTCTCCTTTCTCATCATCTCTAGCCAACTTTCTGAAATAGCCAGCATGACACCCTGGCTCTGGTCTTGAGCTCTTCCCCCAGGTCGTCCTGTGCCAGAGTGGTCTTTCTGAAATCCTTATCTGCTCATTTTTTTTGCCATACCTTGACATATAAATGTGATCATGATAACTTCTCAACATTCAGGAAAGGAATGCCTCTGTAGATGAAAAAGGGGCCACATCCCAAACCTGACAAGCTCAGGGGAGGCCTGCATGGAGGGCCCTACAAACTTAGAGACCGAAAGTAACCACATAGGATGGTCTGAACATAAGAATTCCTAACTAAAAAAGAATCGTAACTGGCAGTCATGTCCCAGCCCTGCATTCTTTGACAAAGGTCAGTCTTTACTTTAAGTGAGTCTGTCTATTGTTTTTTTACACCTAAGATAACATAACTGTGAGATGTCAGAGTCATCTTCTTTTCCAGACTCCTCAAGCCACCAACTCCTTGCACCAGAGCATTGAACCACTTATTCCATAAATATCACCTCATGTGCTGTAAATATGAATTATTAACTATCCTGTACTAACCAGTGTAAACAAAGTATGTGCTTCCCTATTTTTCTTTTTGTCCAATCCCAGAAATTTCCCCACTTTGCTTTCTCCTATCCCCTTAACTATCACCAGTGGATTTCATGTAACTCATTACATCTCCTCCTTTGATTCTAATGTATAAAATAAGTTGCAAAACTGCCATTCACCAGAGCATTTTCTCATTCTGTTGAGATTTTGCTGCTTGCCAACTGTCAGTTTGTCTCAAATAAACTCATAAAAATTCTCTACAGGTTTGAAGGTTTCTTAAGTCACTACTTCGTACAATATTTCAACTGTTAAAACTTTTGAGGTTAATACTGATAGCTGGTAGGGTACATTCCTGCTATCCTTTCCAAAACTATGTTGGCTATTCCTAGCCCTTTTTCTATATAAATTTTATCATCAACATTTCCTCTAGAAAGCCTACCCTAACAACCTCCACTCTGTGTTCCTTCAGTACTCTGCGTTCATTCATCTGTCTACTAATTCAACAAATATTTATCCATGACTATAGCCCAGACAATGTCCAAACAACTGTGAACAAGACGGTCAAGATCCCTGCAGCCCAGAAAGCATATTTTGTAATGGTTTACTTATTCTTTGTCCCTCACTGCAGGCTAAGGTCATCAAAGGTACACATTATTGCCTTACCTTTGTAGCTCCAGCACGGAGCACTGTCACAGGGGCAGGCCGAGGCGGCGGGTCACATCAGGGGTGCCTCGGCAGACGGTGGCAGCACCAGGCAGGGAAGTCATGGGTCCCTGCTGGGATCCTGTGGGGACAGCCACAGGCTCCAGCCCGTGCCGCAGCGGTCTGGGATTCAGGCAGAGGCCCGGGATTCAAGCAGGGGCCCGCGCCAGCCCAATGCCCCAGCTATGGCATCGGTGACCCTAGTCCACGACTGGTCCCAGACAATGGAGTTGTGCCCTCTGTATGGCCTCCACCTCGAGCCCAACACAAAGATGACCATCCGTGTGGCCCTTCTGCCGCTGAAGCAGCAGGGAAGTCCACGTCCAACTGGGAAGTGATGGAAAGGCTGACGAGCAAGGAGTTCTCCGCCCTCCAGATTTCCAACAGCACCGCGGCCTTCATCTGCTTCAAGCGTGGGGTGGAGAACGAGAGTCTAGTCCAGTCGCCTGCCTCAAGACTGGGGCTCCTTCTTCCACGACGCCACTGGGAAAGGGGCCGTCAGGATTTCCCTGGAGGGACTGCCCGAAAAACAGTTCGCCCCGTAGGAAGGAGGCTCAGAGAAGCGGAGCGAGAAGGTTCCAGAGAAGGTGTTTGTGACGCCTAGGGAAGCGTGGAGCAGGGACATCCCATGGCTGGACCCCCACCGCGAGAGGTCAGGCCGAGAGGTCAGGCCGAAAGTTCCGCACGTTGTTTCGCGGGACCCTATGCCTTCCAGGGGTGCGTCCCGGACCGCGCATGCGTGGGCTTCGTGCGGGCCCAGAGCGCCTGCGCGGGGAATCACTGTATTGGTCACAGCGTGACCCGCCCGCAACCTCGAGGCTTCTTTTGAGTCTGCCAAACCCGGGACTGGTGCTTCGGCTAGGAAGCGGCAGTCCAGAAGGCAGAAACTTCAACAGCTGGAACAGCAAAGAGGAGAATAGTAAATGCCGAGGTAAAGAGGTGGAGACAGAACTAGAAGAATTAGAGAAAGAAAAGGAGAGGAGTTTCACAAGAGGGAACAAAAACAGACACTGTGAACTCCGTAGTTGCCAACGGTAAGGACCTCGGAAGCTACAGAGGAGAGGAAAAGCCACAAGAAAAGGTCAGACTGGAAGAGGGAAAGGTCCTGCTGGCTCAGGATCCTGCCGTGCCTCGGGCTGCCTGGGAGCCGCTGAACACTTGACCTGCACTGGGCTAGGGTCCCTTTGTTTCTCTGAAAAAACGCGGCCAGGCACAGCCTCTACTTCCCTCTGCTGGTTGCAACCATAATCGAAACAAATGTCTTCATACCTAGAAGGGGGAAGAAAACTGGAGAGAGTGACCCTCAGTGATATAAACATTAAATTACTCTTAACTAGCCCTGGCTTGTGTGGCTCACTGGATTGAGCGCTAACCTGCAAGCCAAAGGGTCACCCCTTTGGTTCCCGGTGGTGGGGTCACATGCCTGGGTTGCAGGCCAGGCCCCCAGTTGAGGTGGTGGGAGAGGCAACTAGTCTGTGTGTCTCTCAAACATGGGTGTTCCTCCCTTTCTCCCTCCTTTCCCTTCTCTCTAAAAATAAATATTTTTTTTAATTACTCTTAGCTAGAAAGTGCCTAGACTAGGAGACAATCTACACTACCCTGGGAATGAGCACATGCTATTCAAACCACCCCTAGCATTTCTTTTACATATCTCAGGGCATGGCGTTTCAACAGTATCCAATAGAAATATAATGCAAACCATACATATAATTTTTTAAATGCTTAGTAGTCACATTTAAAAAAACAGGTAAAATTGATTCATATATTTTAACATCAGAATAGTATCATTTAAACATGTAAACAACATAAAGTTTAGATACTTTACATTGCCTTTTTGTAAGTATTTGAAATCTGATGTTTATTTTACATTTATAGCCCAATTCAAGTTGGACTAGCCACGTTTCAAGTGCTCAATAGACACAGGTGACTATTGGCTAATGTATTAGATACTACATCTCTAATTTAGAACAATAGTTCCAAGTGACATTTTCAGATGAAATCTTGGCCTGAATCCTCTTGTGTAAATTGATCAAGGAAGATCTGCTCTGGTTGGAGCACAGGAGGTATCTCAGAATCCCATCTCATGCCCAGCATTTGCCTCGCCCCACCACTTCCAGACACCTCCAAGAAAACTCTACAAACAGTGGTTCACGCTCTTCATTCACTTGCAATTAACTCCAACTTTTGAAATAATTTCCCTTCTAAACAAACTGCATTAAGTAATTACTAATTTGTGTGTGGGGGGGGTTCATTCCAGAGCCATATATATAATTGCTGCTCAAGACTTCGAATCAGAGTAAGATAACAAATGAGAGATTACATTGAATTGGGGGTGCAGTGAGTGGTAGAAAGTTGGCATTGTCATTGGCCACATCATGGTAAATATTGGCTTTCTGTTATGTTTTTGAAAAGCTGAAGGTATCCCTGGTACCACCATTACTGAATGTGTGGGGCTTTTTTGCCAACTAGGATTTCCAGTTAAAATACTGTATTTTCATCTGCTAAATCTGAAAACTATAATCCCAACCCCTAGTGCAGAGCAGTAGGCTAGTGGGGAGAAGAAGAGGAAAATTGGTTTCTAATCAAGATCAGTCAACCATCATTAAGGTCATTCAATCAAAACAGAACACCAGCTTTCTAAGACTTTTGTGGGGATTAGAGAATTATTAGTGATGTTGTACATATGGTGTTTTTAAAAAGTATAAATTTCTTTTTTTTAAAGATTTTATTTATTTTTAGGGAGGGAAGGGAGGTAGATAGAGATAGAGAGAGAGAGAAACATCAATGTGCGGTTGCTGGGGGTATGGCCTGCAACCCAGGAATGTACCCTGGCTGGAAATCGAACCTGGGACACTTTGGTTCCCAGCCCGCGCTCAATCCACTGAGCTACACCAGCCAGGGCTAAAAAGTATAAATTTCTTTAATTGGGTTTGAGGTTTCCTGGGTAGATTAAGGATGATGGTTTTCTAATCCCAAAAGTTCATCAATACAATCAGACTATACTATTCAGTACTAAATGGATACAAACTAGCGAACCATAAAAGCTTACAGAGGAAACTGGAATGCTTCCTACTAAGTGGAAGAAGCCAATCTAAAAAGGCTACATATGATTCCAACTACATGACATTCTGGAAAAGGCAAAACTATGGGGACAGTAAAATGATCAGTGGTTGCCAAGGACGGGATGAAGAGGATGAACAGACTGCGCACAGAAGATTTTTAAGGCAGTGAAAACACGGCATGATACTATAACAATGGATACATGTCACTATACATTTGTCCAAATTCATAGAATGTACAACACCAAGAGTGAACCCTAATGTAAACTATGAGCTTTGAGTGTACAAAATTTGGGGACAGGTTTTCTCTTGAGCTATATGCTGACTGAAAAAAGTATGAATTCCTTTTTTCTTAAAACATTATCATGAAAAATAAGAGGAAAATTTCACAACCTACATAAGTAATTTGTCAACTAGATTGTATTTTATTCACATTTGACTCCCTAATAATATTAGGGTATTTAAACAAGTGTAAAAACACTGAGCTGAAGGGGAGAGGGACCAGGGGGACAGCACACCAAGGCTTCATATGTATGTATATATGTATACAACTGGTTCTTCCATAATTAGCTCATTTCTTGCCTTTACACATTTTACTTTTTATTTATCCTTCTTACAAAATTTTTTGAACTAAAAATCCAGGCTGAGAAGCCAAACACTCCTAAATCTCCTGAGCTCCCTCTCTCTGTGTGAATAATGCCATGAACAGCCCCCAAGGAGGTTGCTCAATCAATTCATTGGTGAATTCATCCTATGGGGGTCAGTCCAAGGGAGAGCAGATGGTGAGCTGCTCTGAATTTTAAGGAAATACCAGAGCTGTCTTTATAGGCCCCAAGGCTCCTGCAGATCCTTAGAAGCAATGATAAATGTAGGATGTTAAACTTAAAAACAATAGAAAACATTCTGGAAACTTACAAACTGCCTTTTGCAAAAGAGTCTGGGTGCCCTAAGTATGGAGGTTTTGCAATAAATCAATGGAAAAGATGTAAATGGAGTTACTGATTTGTTACCCAAGGTGACAGGTAGTACCTTCCGGGATTGCCCAGGATCTAGACCTCAGCCAAAATGCTGCTGGTCTTCAGAAAAATATAACCAACCTTGAGGCACACATTTTGCAGCCTAACATTTTTTCCTCTTTTAATTTTTAATTTTCCCTACCCTTAATTTCTCTTCATAAAGAAAACAAAAATCAAAACAAATCCCACACTTCTATATTTTAAAATTGGAGTAAGAGATGTAAGCTATATTTTAGAAAAATGTAGGGTAGGAAAGAAGGAAGTTGGGGAAGATTAATTCCTTCATCAGAGACTATAATTATGTTCCAGAAATGTAGGAAATTCTGTATGAAGCTAAAAGTAAAATAAAAATAGAATGGCTTTGAATTTATATCACTACAGGCAGCCCCAAGCAAAGAAGCAGTTGAGTAATAAAGGTTTATTCTCTAAGATGTTGTTTATAGCTCAAAACTCATTTTCCATGGAAACATTATAAATGATTGAGCTTGCAGATCAGACTTGAAATGTTAACTCTGTAGTGAATTTTCAGGACAGGATTCACAGTTCTAATTCGAGTTTAACTAACCACTGTTTACAATAATATGCTTCTGATTGGAAGACCTATGCAAGTTCCAAGTCACAGTGTCAGGCACATTTCCATGTCCTGTGTGTCTCTATGCTTGTTTTAAAGTTCTCAGCAAAAATGTCAGGGCCTTCCTAAGAGAATAAACTAGAACTCAGGTCTCTTGTCTCCAAACACTTTCCAGAAGTCATCCTTTGATAGCTGCATGGAAAGAAATGCTTGGGTCAGCCATTCTCTGGGTCTCTGAGTGAGGAAAAGGGAATTACCTCCATAGGAAAGAGAGTCTATAGCTCCGGCCTTCTACGTGGTGGTTCCTGCGCTAAAGTAGATAGTAGGACAGAAAGAGCACTGGAGTGTGAGTGAACAAACCTCAATTTGAATCATGACTCAACCATTACCTATGTAACCTTGAATGAGTGATTTCACATATCTGAGCCTTAGTTTTATTTTTTAAAAAATAAACAAATAGGACGTCAAATTTCTGAGAGGACAGCTTATTGTTTTCAAGAGAATTTCAAAGGAAACTATCACTATCACTCCCATAATTAAGAACCATTGGACAAAGTGATCTGTTAAATTCTTCTAGTCCTAGCCCTGGCTGGTGTGGCTTTTCTCGCACATCAATGTTTCTCTCCCTCTCTTTCACCCTCCACTACCCCCTCTCTAAAAATAAATAAATAAAACCTTTTCTGAAATATATTTGTAAAATTCTTTTAGCCCTAGCATTTTAAGTTTCAGGTCTGGTGTTGTTCCTCAATTAGGATCTGCCTAATTATGAGTTACTGAGTTTTAGGACCTCCCAAATCACCTGGTATTCATCCTTGTCCTCTATGCAAGCTGAAAATAAGCAGAATGACAGTAGAAGGTTTTATAAATGTTCTACATGGTTTCTCATTCTCTGAAAATCCTCTTGCTTTAATAAAAGATCTGTCATCTCCAAATCCTCAATTCCCAAATGGAAAGTTTACATCAATTGAACTGAATGGATAATTTCTAGGTGTTCACTTGGTGTCTTGTAGACTTCTTTCATATCCTCAATCAATTCACCCTTCTACTTCAATTCACTTGACATATTCCTTGTTCCCAAGTGTTCTGGAACCAAGACAAAGGCAGAAATATAAGGTCAGTCACATGACTTAGAATCATTTTTTTCTTTCAGGAAAAGAACCACTGAAGTGCTTGTCCTGTGTGTGGAGTTACCACCTAGCGGGAGGAATCTGTGTCTCGGACTGTCTGGTGGGGCAATACAGAGTGGGAGAGGTACTGAGTGCTGTGTGTGGTGTGCCTTCTGCCCTTCCACAGGGGGAAGTGAGCTACTTTCTGTATGTCATTCTAGGCAAAGTAAATAAAGGCCTAAAATTCCTATACTCTCTGTAGTACAGGTGTAATATTTTAAAATCTACTGTTGCATCAGAGATTAAAGGTGCTATTTACCTATAGCTTTAATTTCAATCAAAGGGACACAGAATATATGAGATAAACAATGGGGAAACTAAGTAATGAGGGCCTCAGAATTAACTCTACATTCATTGCTCATGACCTTAGAAGTTTTGGGTCTACATAGGAATATTATGTCAGAAATTAGAAATATCTTCTTTCTTACCCCATTGTGAAACACTGAATAATGTTAGAACTACATAGTTGATGTTATTTTTCATCTCCTCTACCTCTCCACAGTGTATTAAGATATATTTTTATTTGCTTGCCTAGAAACTATGGATTTCTGAACCCACTAACTTCTTGATTATGTTTCGAAACTCTAGAAATTTAGTAAATGTCTCATGGTGAAATGAACATGATGACCCAACATGTTCACGTATGAGCTCTCTTTACATTCTGACATTAGCCCTCATTACACTTTGGTGAAACTGAAGTTCTGAGAGATTAAATAGTTGGTAAAGACCACAGGAGTCGTAAGTGTTACAACAAAGCCGGGACTGAACCCAGGAATTCTGGCTCCTAGTCCAGGATTTGATGAGATAATAATAGCTGAGAAAATACTTTGTCAGTGCCCAAAACAGGCCAAGGCACTCAAGAAAGACAATGTACTTTCCTTCGTTTTCCATCCTACCATCTTTTCAAAGCGAAGCAGTGAAACAGGAGCTACCTTTCCCCATCTACGTTTCTAGCACCATGAGTAAACGAGCAGCTTGTCAGGAGGGAGGCCACTTTCTCCTCATCTCTCAGTCCTCTTCCCATTGAGATTGAACTGCTTTAGTTAAACAGTCACAGCTTATATTATTCTAGGACAGAGGCCAAGCAGGTAATGAGTCAAAGGTGCTTGGTCAGAGAAAACCCCAGTGCAAACTGATGCACAGTGGAATTTGATGTTTCACCTATGTGTTGGTGACATCAGAACAAGTGGCAGGGGTGTCCAACCCACAGCCCAGGATGGCTATGAATGCAGCCCAACACAAACTTGTACATTTACTTAAAACCTTTTTTTTGTTCATCAGTTTTTATTAGTGTTTGTATATTTAATGTGTGGCCCAAGACAACTCTTCTTCAAGTGTGGCCCAGAGATACCAAAAGGTTGGATGCCTCTGGGTATATCAAGTAGGAGAGCATCAGATACAAAAGTGACACTGCCATGTGGGAATGATAAGTTTATGTGTGGAACATGCCAAATTTGAAATGTGGGCAATGAATGAAAATAATTTTGGTCTGTGAAGGTCAATATAAAATGGGCCAGACAAAACTTGTCCTTGACCAGGAACAGCATGAGCTATCAGTTTGTAACCTGAGCTGTTCTTGAGGCCCGTTCTCCCACTATGTTACCAGTGGATCTCAGAGGGAGAGGACCAGCAATGGATCCATCCAAGTGCTGAGAGTTAATTCTGTCTTTTATCCAGAACAGACCACCTTTCTCTTGTCTTCCATATGCCTCCCTTCTTTATGAAGACAAGAGAGAACTCCCATGTGGGATCTCCAGGGTCTTGAAAATCCCTCCTCCCTCAAAAGGAATTTCCTGATTGTTCTTGACAGGGGGAGAAATTTAACTGTGAAAAATGCCACGAGAGCTGCGTAGAATGCAAAGGACCTGGTGCCAAGAACTGTACTGTGTGCCCCGCCAACCTGCTGCTGCTCATGGATGACAGCCGCTGCCTGCAGTGCTGTGGCACCAATGATTCCAGTAATGCCCAGGAGTGCTGTGACTGCCAGGATACCACAGGTGAGGGAAGAGGAAGAGCAGCCTCAGAGGCAGGATGTGTCCTCAGGCTGCTGTTGGAAGCTGGAACTCCTTCCAGCTTCCAGGATAGAAAGTTCTGGAGAATCAATATAACTACCCTTTTATGGAATGCCTGCTATGTACCTGCCCACTGTACTTAAAACTTGCTGTCCATCATCTCATACAAGAAGATATTAATCCCATTTTACGGATGAGGAATCTGAGGCTCAAAAGGTTTGATGAGCATGCCCAAGTACACACCAATGTTAAGAGGCTCATCTGGAATTAGAATGTGGGTCCTCAGATCTGCAAAGCCTGCATTTTTTTCACTACTGTGCTACCTTCAACAGTAAAGCTCAAGTAGGCCTAGAGTTTTATCTTTACAAATTTCTTTTATTCGAATCTTTTCTTTTTATTCTTCACTTCTGAGAAAAAAAGGAAAAGAATCAAGTACCAAGGAAGCTGATGCCAATGTTATCTTGAAGAATCATGCTACAAAAATCAGCTTGAATGTAGCCTTCCCATTAGAGACCTAAAGCATGTTAGAAATGAGATTTCAGTGAAGGTTAAGAAGCAACAAACATTTTTAACCAGTTCCCAGCCCCCTAAATGTCTTCCACCCCCAACTTTATCCATATGGGTATTTGATCTGCATTGGCCACAAACTTAGATTCCAAATGGACTCATTTCTTCTTAAAAAATAATTTTGTTGTTTTTAATTATATTTTATTGATTATGCTATTACAGTTGTCCCAATTTTTCCCCCTTTTCCCCCTCCAGCCAGCATCCCCACTCCTTCATGCAATCCCCACACCATTGTTCATGGATCATGCGTGTAAGTTCTTTGGCTGCTCCATTTCCTACACTGTACTTTACATCCCTGTGGCTATTCTATAACTACCTGTTTGTATTTCTTAGTCCCTTACCTCTTCACCTATTTCCTTAAAACCCCTCACATCTGGCAACCATCTAAATGTTCTCCATATGCATAATTCTCTCTCTGATCCTCTGTGGAGGATCAGCTGTGCAGGGGCAGGGCAGTGGTGCTCTGATGTTATCTGTAGCTGTCCACTGTGTGTGCAGGCCAAGGTCAGCCCCCACCTGTGTTTTGCCTGGGTCCACCGTGCCTGAGCTATAAAGCAGTCTGAGATGGCTGCTACTTGTGTTGGGCTTGGAGATTCCCAGGCAGGCCAAGCTGTGAATCTAGGGTAGCTACTTCTAGTGCCATGCCTGGGGCCACTTAGCAAAAGGTATGAGGGCTGGGGGCTCACTGAGTCTGTCTGTTGCTTGTTTGAGAGGATTTAAGAAGTTGTGAAGCCACCACTTTGTGAAACCACTTGGCTTCACCACTTGGGAAGCCAAGACCAGCCATTCATATGGAAAAGCAGCTTGGGTGGGCCCATAAATTGGGTGGGTCAGAGTCTCTGGAGATCTCCAGCGCAGGGCAAACAGTTTTAGCCAGGTTGACAGGGTCTCAGATATGGCACCAGCCTTCTGGCTCTGTGGGGGAAGGGTTTAGAAAAGGGACAATGGCCTCTGCTCACCTTGATGTCAGACACTTCAGTTCCTCCCTATATGCCACTGGTGCCTTTTAAGCTGCTACCCCAGTGCTGGAGATCAGAGGGGGTGAGTCTGAGTAAGTTTGTGTGTGGCTTCTTTAAGAGGAACTGCTTGAAACCCTGGCTGGCGTAGCTCAGTGGATTGAGCTCGGGCTGCGAACCAAAGTATCGCAGGTTCAATTCCCAGTCAGGGCACGTGACTGGGTTGCAGGCCACGGCCCCCAGCAACCGCACATTGATGTTTCTCTCTCTCTCTCTCTCCCTACCTTCCCTCTCTAAAAATAAGTAAATAAAATCTTAAAAAAAAAAAAAAGAAGAACTGCTTGGGAATCTAGAAGCTTCTTCCACTGACACAACCCCCACTGGTTTTTGCAGCTAGAAGTTGTAGGAACTTATCTGCCTGGCACTGGGACCCTGGGCTGGGGGGTCTGGTCTGGGGCTGGGACTCCTCACTCCCAAGATATCCCTCCAGATTTTTATCCACCACACGTGGATGTGGGACGAGCCTTTTCTGCATCTGCGCCCCACTTACCAGTCTGGATGGATGTGATTTGTTTAATCCTGTAGTTGTCAGACTTCCATTCAACTCGATTTCTGTAAGTTCTGAGTGATGGTTGTTCTATATTTTATATGTAATTTTGATGTGGTTGTGTGAGGAGACAAGCCATGTCTAAAAATAAATTCTTAAAATAAATTCTCTAGTCCAGAAGTAGATCATTTCCTTGTGGTTCAGATGTATCATGGCCTGTATTTTGTCCTATATCACGGACAAAAAACACACATCATATTTATGGAAGCATATACATTTATAAAAGAAGTAGATCCCCAATCCATAACTGCTACCAGCCATTTCTACTTTATTTTTCTAATTAGCTTTTTCAATTAAATTCTAAAAAAGCATCTTTCCAAAAACTAAGGATTTACTCCTTTCAGCTTTCCCACCCCCACAAACAGCTGATTTCCCCAGCTCCTCATGTACATCCACCTTCAGGGTCTGACTGCCTAACACTCATGCTATGTCAGCTAAGAATAATAACCCTAATTACACTGATGGCTTTAAATGAAACCAGAAATGTGTGCATGTTGGCTACAGATTTTCTGTAAGACTGTTCTTATTAAAAACTAGTTAGTCAGTTTTTCTGGGCCTTCTGTGGCTCTCAAAGATCCACCTGGGGCAACTCTGCAAAAGTCTAAACACTCTTGATTACCTACTCGTTCTTTACTGAGGCCAGATCACAGAGGCCGCCCCTAACTCTGCAGACCCAAGACTGTAAGGCAGTAAGACGTGATTGCATATGGCGCCCTAGTAATTGAACCAACCTCGAAAGGTCTTTTATTGATTCTTCTGCCTCAGGCAGTATTTATCTCCAAGTACCACACATCAATTGCTTATCCATCCCTCTGGTGCTTTAATATTTCCTCCAGGGAAAAATTCTGTGCTGTATTGCTAATGAAAGCCATAATGATAGTGCTGTTACTTTAGAAAAGAAACTAGCTTAATGGGCAAAATCCCATGAGAATGAAAGTTGCAATAAAATAAAAAACTTGTTTATCACTAACGAAAAGAGGAAGATATAGTGGTGATGAATCAGATGTAATTAGCCAATATCTAATAAGCAAAAATAATTGCCTTTAAAATAGTTGGCAGCAGTACTACATCATTAAGTTAGTATGCACAATGTACCTAGAATCTCTCATAATATAATCCTGGAGGAAGACTCAGATGGCTCGAAAAGCATTTATGAAAGACTGTGTATTTCAGTTTGTACATCCAACGTGGCCTGCTCGGTTTTTTCTCTAGTTCTCTTATACTTTCTTTTGCAATCCCACTGGGTGTGTTAAAAAAGAAGTTAAGAAGCTTATTCAAGTCATACCACTTGAATAAATGGGTGAAAAGTAAGAAAAATGAACTCAACGCTGAAGTTATGGCTTAATCTTTCCTTCTGTGAGTTTTTTTAGTCCATGTTCTCAATTAAGGCATCAAAACAGAGGCTGATGAGTGACAGCCAGAGCTCTCAACATCAGCAATCTTAACGATGATAGAATTGCAAAGGTGGTACTTTTCTCCCCTGCCCACTAGAATAAGACCACAGAATACCAAAAAGTCAAAAACAGTTGTCAAAGTGTTTTATTCTAACATCTCCAGACTATGTCATGAAGTTAGGATCCCCGAGTTTGAATTCTGATTGTTTCACAAACAAGCTCTTACCTCTGACAATGTGAAAATTCACTTCTTCTTAATGGGCCTCAGTTTCTCAACTGTCAAGCACCGTGGTGACTTAAGGAAATCTAAGGTACCACACAGAAATGAGTCAATGATGTTATAAATAATCTTCTGTCTTTGATTGGTGGCACAATCATGTTGGACCAGGTTTAAGAGTAGCTGGGCAAGGGTCTCAAGTCTTAGCAAAAGCCAAAGTTAGTTATTTGGCATTTAGTGAATCATGGCCCAAGATGGAATATTTTTCTCAGGAGAGAAATAGAAGAATTGATTGTTAAAGTTGGATACTTAGCAGATGACCCATGAGGTATGGGGATGCAGGGGGCTCCCTTTGGATCTCAAACTGACCTTCATTCCAGAAGGGTTTGATGGCATCATCTGACACAGACTGGGACCCTCATGCAGTACTCAACCAGTTCTGCAGAGTGGTGTGGTGTGCCTATTAAGAAAATCAGAGAGTGATTCTACCACTTTAGATGTAAAAGATGAATGTGAAGTTCTTAACCTCAGAAACTAATTTTTCCCATTTCATCCTTTCTCTCTCATCTTTTCTCTCTCCCCTCTGCCTTTGGTGTCATCTTCCAACAGATGAGTGCATCCTTCCAGCAAGGGAGATTGAGTCTGCTCCTGAGCATTCCAAGACGGCCTTGCTCATCAGCTCCTTAATTATGCTGGTGCTTCTCCTTGGGGTAGCTGTGATCGTCTGGAGGAAATCACGGGGCCGAGCACAGCCAGCAGAGAAGTCAGGCTATGAAAAGCTGGCTGACCCGAGCAAGTCTTACTCCTCCTATAAGAGCAACTATCGCGAGAGCACCAGCTTTGAAGAGGACGAAGTGATTGAGTACAGGGACCGAGACTACGATGAGGATGACGATGATGACATAGTCTACATGGGCCAAGATGGCACTGTCTACCGGAAATTTAAGTATGGGCTGCTAGATGATGATGATGAAGATGAGCTGGAATACGATGATGAGAGCTACTCCTACCAGTAACAGAGGCCACCCCACCCCCCTCCCCTCACAGGCATGAGTGTGAGCCTTACAGTTTTGGGTTTTATCCTCACACACTAGGATGTCGTGTGGGTGTTTGTATTTGCTTCTTCACCGTGATTCCAACTACATTATATAAAAATGTTGAAGTGTTTTGCCCTTCCTTTAAGTGACTAAACCCAATACACCAGAATTGTTCAACCATAATTGAGGAACAAGGATAAAATATGGAGGAATTTTCCTAAAAACAATATGTCAAAATACAAAACACAGGAAGTAAAATAAGATTTGTACAAACTGTTTTATGTCATTTGTTTTTCCAAAAAGGAAGCAGGCCTACAGAAAATCTGTTTCATGGCTGCAGTGTGAGATATCTACTGCCTTCTGGAATTCTGGTATTTCTGTAAATGATTGAGGGGGATGAGGAGATGGGCGAGTTGTTTGTCTTGGGGGATTTTTCTCCCCTGATAGCTCTCTTCAGGCAGAGATTTGTCCTCTACAGGCAGCTAAAGAAGGTTCTCCTCCTCAACCATTTAACAGTTGACCCCAGATCGCCCCTGGTGAGCAAAAGAGACCACCTCCGCTGAGGCAGTCACAATCTGTTTAGAGACAAGGAAAGAAAAAGGAGGTAGCACCACAGCTGAGGAATCATGTGTTTGCCGGACTCTGATTTGTCTGCATCAATCCAGCGTCATCATGCTCCTAAGGAAGCTCAGGGGAAAAGTAGCAGCAAACCCCATAGGAAGGAAATCGCTAACTTTCCAAGAATTGCAGCATTACACCCTCAAGATTTTCTAAGAGCTTATCTGGTTGGAAACATCAGCTAAGACATCAAGTAATAAAAACAAGATGGCCTTGGTAACTTAAAATGGATAAAATGAACAAAACTCTAAAAAAGACTTTAGCTACTAAATCAGACAGCTTTCATGAATAGCCTGTCCCAGAACTGTGGACTCCCCATAGAAAAAGCTGGAATGGAGTCTCACCTGGATAAATCCACAACTTTCTACTCGTGAACCTAATCCCGCTGCTGCCTAGCCTTCCAACACTTTTTGTCCCTGTGATTTTCATTTCTAGATATTCTAAGCCTCCCTTTTTCCATGTTCCTGACAAGTACATGCTTGAATTCATGCACCTGGGACAGTTTTTCTGCAGATAATACAGAGAGAGGGACCCTGCTTTGTGAAATTGCCTAAGTAGGGTTTTATGGATATCCTTGTAAAAACACAAGTTATAGGTAGTACCAGGAGCAGACAACCACTTCTGGCTAGAAAGTGACATTTTCAGATGATGATGATAATTATAAAAACATTTAATGCACACCTACTATGTGCTAGGTACTGAGTTAATAATACCTTTCAAAAGAGATCACCCTACTTAATACCACCATAACTTCATGAGGTTGGTACCATTATCACTCTGTTTTTACAGGAAACCCAAGGCTTATGAGAGGTTAAGGTCACAGAAAGCTAATCAAGATTCAAGGAAAAAGAATAACCCTATAGTACATGTTCTTAATAATTATGCTACACTGGCATAAAGTGGGAAAAGTAACATTCTAAACCTAATAAAGGCATGTCTAATATTTTATTTTGTGATATGGTAACTGTATTATCTTTACTAAACTTGTGCATTTTTTTTTTCTTTTTTTAAACACAATGTGTCACTGACTCAAAAAATCTCTGTGAGAGGAAGTCTTCGGTTTATGAAAGGCTTCGGTGTTTCATTTTTCATTTAATTTTTTTTAATCCTCACCCAAGAACATGTTTTTTCATTGCTTTTAAAGAGAGAGGAAGGGAGAGAGAGAAACATCATGTGGTTGGAATGACACACCCATACATGCCCAGACTGCTGGAGATCAGTGCCAGACCAGGTATCATCTGTGTCAGGAGCTGGTGGGGGCAGAGGGGGGCAAATCACATGCCCCTGTGCCTGGGCCAGGGATTGAACCCACAATCTAGGCATGTACCCTGACTGGGAATCGAACCCACAACCTTCCAGTTATGGGATGATGCTCTAACCAACTGAGCCACACCAGCCAGGGCCTCAGTGTTTCCTTAGGGGAAGGTTCATAAAGGTTGGCCAACTTTCTCTGGAAAGGGCCAGCCAGTAGATACTTTAGGCTTTGCACAACTACTCAACTTAGCCACTGTGGCATGAATGAAGCCATCTGTGACAAATGGGTGGGATGTGTTCCAATAAAACTTTATTTGTGGACACTAAAATTTGGATTTAACATTATTTTTACATATCATAAAACATCATTCTTCTTTTGATTTTTTTCTCTAATCACTTGAAAATATAAAAACCATTCATAACTTATGGAAGTACGAAAACTGATGATGGGCTGGAATTGGCCATTAGACTAGACTGTGATTTGCTGACCTAATTTTTTAAAAAATGTAAGTGACCATGTGTATCACACACAGATACAATATGCTGTCAAGATTTTTGGTCATTTAAAAGCATTTCTTTAAAATATTTTTAAGCTCTGTTAGTTCCCCTTGTAATTCTTGGAAATAAATAAAAATACATGTAAGATAGCCACTATATCAATGGAAGAATTTCTCATCTCTTGCTATGTGATTACAAAGGTAGCCTGTAAAAAGAAGTAATTTTGTTTATACTGTGTTTTTCATCTCTCCTGATAATTCTAAAGCTCTGATAGATTGAGTTTGACATTTCTTTGTGTAGCCTGGAAATCATTTTCCAAAAATAGGTATTTATGATACACAGTTAAGGATTAAACTAGGTCAAGATGACCTTAAATATCAAGAAAAATTATGTTGTTGCTCTATGTGAGCCTGCAAAGAAGGTTCACGCTGTGTATTGGTTCAATGTGACATCTTTTCTTCTTTGTTTTTAGTCATGTCACATTACTCTCAGACTTCCGTTGAATACTGGCCTAGCAAATGTCTAAATAGGTAAATACGTGCTTGGAAAACATAGTCACTTTTTGGTTTTCTGTTTGCAAATAACTTGGAAATATTAAGAGCATCCTTGTAGACTGGAAATACATCAAAAGGCTGGGCAAAAAGTGTTCCAGTTCATACAAATTAATTTTAAAATTGGAAATAAAATTAAATCAAGACCAGATAATTCTATAGGGATTTATTAACAGACTATATCTGAGCACTTTGTATGCACTAGTACAATTAAGCATCACTTAATAAAGGAGATACTTTCTGAGAAATGTGTCTTAGGCCATTTAATTGTGTAACTATTGTAGAATGCCCTTACACAAACCTAGACAGTACAGCCTACTACACACCTAGGCTGTATGATATAGCTTATTCCTCCTAGGCTATAACTTTGTACAGCATATTACTGTACTAGATACTGTAGATAATTACAGCAATAGTATTTGTGTATCTAAACATATAAAAGTTACAGTAAAAATCCAGTGGTACACCTGTCTCGGGTACTTACCAGGAAGGGAGCTTGCAGAGCAGGAGGCTGCTCTGGGTGAGTCAGTGAGTGAGTGGTGAGTGAACGTGAAGACCTAGGATGCAACTGTATGCTACTGCAGGCTTTACAAACACTGTGCACTTACACTACACTGCATTTGAAAAAAAAAAGGTATTTTTCTTCAATAACAAATTAACTTTAGCCTCCCACAACTTATTTACTTTATAAACTTTTAATTTTTTAACTTTTCAACTCTTTTGTAATAACACAGCTTAAAACACACATTGTATAGCTGTCCAAAAATATTTTTTCTTTATATCCTTATTCTATAGGCTTTTCTATTTTCTTTTTACTTTTTAAACTTTTTTGTTAAAAAACAAGACACAAGCATACATGCCTACACTTGAGAGCAGTACAGTTGACCCTTAAACAGCACAGGTTCTAGGATCATGGATCCACTTATACGTGGATCTTTTTTTTTTTCCAGTAAATACACTTGGCTCTTTGTATCTGAGTTTCACATGGATGGGTTAAGCTAATCTCAGATGTGCAGGGCCTACTGTAGAATTAAAAGTTAAATGCAGATTTTCAAGTTTGAGGGACTTTGTACCCCTTTCTCCCAAGTTATTCAAGGGTCAACTCTATCTGGTAAAGGGTCAGGAAATGACTGTGAGAGGGTTAGGAAATCATGATTCATCTTCTGGGGCTTTGCTACCCAAAATAAAAGCTTTTCAATATCACAGAAGAGGAGGGGAGGCCTGGGGAGCTGTTAGAGAGTCTGAGAAGAATGCCTCTCACTGTAAGTGTTTAATTCATTGTGATCTCAGCCTGCAAGGAAAATTATATATATATATTATATATATATATATATATATAATATATATATATGGCTTATTAAACCCTTAAATAAAGTAAATACGTGTTTGCCAAACACAGAATTATAGGAACAGAACAAGACTGAGGTCAGGAAGATTACCATCGCTCAAAGTTATTCTTATCAGTCAAGACTTTCTGGTGGCTAGGAGTGATTCCGAACCTGATGCAAATTCTTTTGTATCCTTTTGGCTATTTTTAGTTATAAATGATAGAAAACTCAATCTAAACTAGCTTAAATGCAAAAGGAATTTATTGGCTCACTTAGTCAAAAAGTCTAGGGCTAGAAGTGGGATCAGGTGCTGCTGGAAATAGGGTTCACACCACGGCACTGGGATTGGTTTATCGCTGTCTCTTGCATCTATCTTATGTTGGCTCCATTCTCACCAGAGGTCACTCCTTATATTGGCAGAATGGCTGCCAGCGTGCCAAACTTCACCTCTTCTTGGGTTCACGTCCAATAGGGAAAAAGCCCTACCTCTGATCCAAGTCTCTAAAACTTCTGTATTATCTCATTGGCTCACAAAAGGCATTTGACAGCTTCCATTGTATAAATACTCCCATCATTGCCAATGTCAAGCTTCAGCTGCAATGTCACTTAATGTGGAGATGGAAAGAAATGTAAAGTGAACCATTATACAGTTTTTCTACCGTACAGATGCATTCAATATAAATAACCTCAATAGCTTAGCTAATAATAAAATGTAAAATAATGTGATGATTTGGGGATATTTGTCACCTGAGTTTTTAATATAGTTTTTTTTCACTTTATAACTTAAATTTTAATAATAGCTGTGTCTAACAACTAACTTAAAAATTTTCTAAAAAATTAACATCGGCTTTCATAAGCTGGGACAAACCAGATTCAACACACCATTCTTTTTACACACAATCTCTTCTTCTGTAATTGTTTTTTTCTCTCAATATCATGTCTCTCACCAAGAATTTCCTGTCTTTTTTTTTATTAGTTCCCTTCTCCAATGCTATCAGAAGGCCACAATTTTTTTTTTGCTCATTCCCATCAGCAATCAAAGAAAAACAAATTTAATCAATACTGCCTTAGCAAAGGCTTTTAATATAGCATGCAATTAATTCTGGAGCATTATTCACTGCTGCCTCTAGTGACATGGACAATTTCATGTATTACATACTTGCTATAGAGTAAGCCAGAGCATTCATTTTCTATTACTACATAACAACCGACCACACATTTAACAGCTTAAAATAGCATCCACTTATTAGCTCACAGTTTCATAGGTCAAAAGTCCAGGTGGGCTTGACTGGGTCCTCTGCTTAGGGTCCCCTAGGGTCAAAATCAAGGTGTCAGCCAGGCTGGCTCTTAACCGGGAACTCTGAGGAATAATTTTTTCCAAGGACTCAGGTTGCTGGCAGAATTCGGTTTCTTATGGCTATTAGAATGAGATCCCTGCCTTCTTTCCTGGCTGTGGGTCAGGGGTCACCCTCAGATCTGAGAAGCCACACTCTGGTCTTGTGAATGTCCCTCCTTCTTCCTTTCAAGCTGACATTTGTAACACTGAATCCTTTTCATGCTCAGAATCTTCCCGACTTGTCCTCTTGCTACCAGCTGGAGAAAAGTCTGCTTTTATAAGAAAGGACTCATGCCATTAGATTAGGCCCAAATCTCCCTTTGGCTGTGATGCAACATAACTGTAGACAGGATACCTTTTCATGGTCAGGGTCCTAGGGTTAGAGGGAGAAACTGTGAGGGGCCGTTTTAGGATTCTGCCTACCATAGTCTACAAAACTCTTTTAGAAATCGATTTAGCAAAATGCATCAAGTCTTTTCAATGTGCGTTCTGTTTCAATTATCTAATTCCTTGCTGGAAAATATAAGCAGAACCAAAGTGTTCACAATCAAAAGTTCATTTTTGTTTATAATTTAAAACTACTTCACAACACTTTACAAGTAAGTTTATAAAGATTATACAAAATATGCTATATTAGTTACATATAAAAATAAGCAAGAAATAAAATAAGCACTACCATTTCAAGTGTACTTCTGAAGTTAAACACCTATGTGAATTATGCAAGCTAAACTGTAGGAAGCAAAGACAAACAACATCATCTATCCCCAAAGAGCTCAATATTGAAAACAAGACATGTGTACAAGTAACCACAAAATGAAGGAGAATCCAAGCAAAACAATAATTCAGGGAAAAGGGAAACAATAAAGCCATTGGAATGCAGAGACTGTTGGGAAAAACAGTTTGTTGCAATCTGCGATATTTTGGGAGAAAAGCTGAGGGAAGTGTTTGGAAGAATAAAAGGGTGTGCAGAGCGCGGCAAGAGTGAGCAGCAAGTCTCTGTCTCGACTTGCCTGTGGCCTGTAAAGTGGCAAGCACTTTTCACCTGAACTTGAAATCACAGGTCAATTTCTACTACATGTGATAGGTTATTAGAGGCCAGATAAACACAGCAAGCAGATAAGTAGCGTCTCGTCCTATATTATTTCTTTCTTGTGTGCTTGTTCTCAAAGCACTGGTAAGCCTGAAAAGTGGGAAACTTCTACATATGTCAAAAGACATTGGCTCGGCTCTGACCAGTGTGGCTCAGTTGGTTAGGTGTCATTCCTCAAGGAGAAACGTCACCAGTTCAATCCCCAGTCAGGCCACATGTCTGGATTGTGGGTTTGGTCCCCAGGTCAGGGTACACAGGAGAGGCAACTGATCAATTTTTCTCTCCATCTCTTTCTCCCTCCTTTCTGCTCTCTTTAAAAATAAATAAATAAAATTAAAGAAAAAATAATAATTTTGGCTTAAGATCAGCTTGACGAACTTTGTCTTTATTTCAGTTCCAACAATACATCTCATATTGTATTCTGTCCATTCATAAACTATTCCTAGTATGAGGTTGTTTTATTTTTTTATCTGGATGGGGGCATGCTGATTGGATTCACCATTGCTGTATTCATTTGTATATAAAG